CATATTTTTATTAAAGGTAAATAAATTGGCGGGAACGCCAATCAAAAAGAATTATGATTCCCGCCATTTTTATAGAAAATTATAGTGAAATACACATTGTCTCAAACAGTAATGTGACTGTAATATATTTAAATATGAGTATTTATTTAAAATAAATTATAGCATATTATTACTAAGTTTCGACACTTATTGGTGTTAAAAATCAAATCCCATTTTCAGTAAGTTAGCGACTGCGAAATAACTGACGGAAAATGTGATTTCATAACCGTTATTAAAATAATCATACAGAAATGAAAATAGTTATCAATACATTAAAGTCTTTAAAATTAAATACCGTCTTCGATGCACACAAGATAATGAATTTTGTTTTTAAATTATCACTATTATGAATTTATAAACCAAACCTTAAAAGGAAATATTAACTTGGTTTCAGAAAGAAAATTCATTCGAATCGACTAAAAAATACATTTGGAACTCGGTTATAATGTGTAATCGTCATCAATCTAACTCATTATTTTAAAAAAGATCGAGCCTTACAATAATCGCATATAATGTGTAACATCTGACATCTCACCTACACATTCTGTTACGAACTTCCGTCCCATTTAACGAAAACATTCGCGCAAAAAAGCGAGACTAAAAATTTTACACATCAAAAAATTTAATCGTAACTACATAATAAATTATTGCTAGCGTATTTTTAGTGGGTACACAACATTCTAGAATGTCATAGATAATTTTAATTTCTGAGTAAACAACAATAATAATAATACACAACCTATACTTCATAAAATGATTTAAAATCATATTTTAGAAAGAATATTTTTTTTCTACAATTATGATTTTGTGGAAAACTGGTTTTAGTAGCACAAAGTGGTAGTGGCTTTATTGCTTTTATATTAAATTCAGACCATCGTTTTTCCTGAATCTTATTTATGCGGCATACCATTTCTTAGAAAACCTGCGATTATTATATATTTAACTGGTTGACAGGTCTTTAGAAGACCGTATTCCAAATCATCCCACCAGTGTGCTTAATAATTGCTTGAAATAATTCTAACCCAATACACTTTGTAAAAATTGCGGCTCGACATCGCTTTCAACCAGTAATTAAAGGCGGCATATGTCTATCTCTAGCCGTTGACATGTAGATAGGACGCTCCTGAACCAGATGGAAAGTTATGAAAAAAGTAGGGGCGGCGGCTATAGCTGCAATTAGCTGATTGATAGTTCACTTTAGTTCCAGAAGCGCAATGGTTAGGGCGTTGGACTTGAGACTAAAAGTTTGCGGGTTTGAACGGACCACGTAGATGAGTGATAATACAATGATTTAAAATACAGAATACTTACATTTTTTTAAGGTACAGTGGGTAAACGAGCTGACTTGTGGCCTGATGTTAAATGACTGACGGCGTCCATAGACACTGGTGTCCATGTCCAGTCACTTAACATACCTCAAGAGACATAGGTGTGTCTTGTCTTTGAGTGCCCGAATGGAGGGGAGAGGGGTGGCAGGATTAACTAGGGAGGGGTTGGTAACCTAACTCAATCACTGGGTATAATGAACTAACACCGGTTTTAAGACGCCTAGTTCAGGATTTTTTTTGGGACAGGTGTACAGGAGTTACAGCGGTGGGCGTGTAGGAGGTAATACCTCCTGTAACTCCTGTACACCAAGATCAACAGCGGTGACCCACGAACATACCGAGTTATGACACTCGGGAAGTCCCAGGACAAAATTACACTGTCTTGGAACCCGCAACGAAATAATCAGAACAAAATTGAAGGAGTTGACAAATTAATAAACGCACTTCCCTTCAAAGCAAAGCAGGAGACACACTTTTAAATAGGGAAGCACCACGGCCATAAAATATTATGAGTCCTAAGTGAGAATATTTGATTTCTATAATATGTATAGCAGAATCGCCTAAACGCACGGAAATTCACCCTTTTTTTTTTTTCCCGTGCGGAAATCCCCTCGGATACCACCTGACGGAAATTCACCCTAGTTGACACAAAATCCCCATAATATACCGCCCCAGATTTCACCTTTAAGCTATTCAGCATTATATTACGTTCATTAGTTCAGGATTTACAGAGGCCAGTCTATGAGGTGTCTCAACACAAGTTAAATGTACACCTAATTATAATTACTATTTTTACACACTGATGAGGGGACTCGAATATTGATTTCAATTACAAAAAAATTAAAATCATGCTACTGATTTACTTTAATTTAGCACAAAGTTTCCGTCTAATGTAAATAACGCCATCTAGCGAATATGTTCTGTACTGTTTTAGACTAATAAATCATCATTATTTACTTATTTATACTTCCTGCAAATATATTGCATAAGGCGGACTTAATGCCATAGGCATTTTCTTCCAGTCAACCTTGGGGTGATGCAGAGATTTGTGTGTAGCAGGTGTATAATGAGATAAATTATTTAAATTGTAGTCAGTTGCAAGATGTTATACTACATAGATATACTGGACATACATATATAGACGTAAATATAATTTATACGTACTATATAATACTATAAATATAAAAAACATAAACATACATATATGCCTGCAATGATGAAGACACGAGGGGTTATTCTGATGACTCCGTCAACAAGTCTCCATAGAGCTTGCGTACTCTGATAATATTATTTTTATGAAAGATGGGTGAAAATGCTTACAGTATTATCTATATTTGTTACATTTGTGCATAAAAATTACACGGTTTTATGCCCGGAATACAGGGAATCCAGGTCAAACTGGTTTTAGTTTCGACCAACACGGTCCTTTAGTTTTAAATGTGTGGTCTAGTGTAGTGGGTTTCATACCCACCCAGTGCCCTATCAATGTGAAGCCTCTTATAACAAGCATTTAGGAAAGAATTCACAAAATACTATAGTCAATTCGCGTTAAGAAAATAGTGACCCATCGTTGTCAACTGATTAAGCCCCGCCCCCTGCCCAATCAGTTCTACAAAATTATAAATTCAAGTTCACATTGAGCAGTTGACTGAAGACTGAAGAAAATACCAAGAAGAAGGCCCAAATATTATATAAAAGTTCATTCAAAGAACCAAAGGGCTTTGTCATCTTTTGTATTCATCCAAGGATGGTCAGTAGACGTTATTATGTCTTTGTTACATTATAAAATAACATTTATGTTCAAGTAAATAAACTTCAATCTACAAGATATGAAAATATTTTGAAAATTTTTCTCCACCCTGAATACACTTTTACCCCGATGCGTCACTATTTTCTTAATGCGAATGGACGTAATAATTAAAACCAATAAGTGCTCTCTGTAATATACCATATTATAAAACATGTATAGCGTATTTAATTAATAACCAACACCGTGACAAGTAAAAATATACATAAATTATTGCTTTGCGCGGCCTGATCACGCATCTATTAGTAATCCACTTTAATCTTCACATCTATAAAATAATACCAGCAATATGTTTTTTTTTGTGTTTAGGCTATATTTCTTAACCATACCAATATATATTTTGTACATTATTTATAATGGCAGTATTTTAGAAGTTGAAACAACATCCACATCACACAAAACATATTTTAACGCCATCCAGCGAAAGTAAGCGGAATTACTTAGAAACTACTCATCCAAAATCGCGCAATGAAAATTCTCGCGGTGATAGTACATACAGCGACCGTTGAGCTGCAGTCGGCTACATATAAATCGTCTAGCAGACAGAAGATTCTCTCTTAGTGTTGGACGAACTGTTATTTCCACAGATTTTCTAGCAACAGCTATTCCGATTTCCGACTCAGACCTACGCGAGTTATTGCTTTCCCAATCCATCCTTACTGATCTTCCTTTTCAGTATAATCCGTGACGTAAGAGTTAATGGCAAGACCCCCCATACTATACTACAATTAGACTAATTTTACCTTAAAAATGAGGGTTTTTAATTCGCCTGTCAACTCTTACAAGGATTTAGCCATACTGTTATTCTCATATTTATTATTAAAGATATAGATTTTGCTTACATGTGAATTTGGGAGCATTTCGGACCCTCAGGGGCTCCTTTTAATCAAGAAAATTCAATACACTTCAAAATACACACTCATATGTAACAGATATCACTTACGAAACTTTTTATTCATAGGCCCTTTACTCCATATTTGCCCCAAATGTCTTACAGATGTACATACATACATTAACATGTATATACCTTTGCACGCGACTCAACCCGCGTGTATGTCGGTTATTTCGGTTAAAACAAGCCACGTTGCCCGCTGATAATGTAGCTTTCCATTGGTGAAAAAATTTTTTAATTGTAATCAAACACTTTCACACTTAAATATGGATGTTGTCTTCCTAAGGTATAACTAACTCATACGTAATATTTTTAGATCTTTGCATAGAGATATAAGCATAGAGAGAACACGGGGTACAGTTGACTGTAAGATAAAGGGATACAGACAACGAGAGAGATGGATGCCCGATAGTTCCCTCTGTCTCTGTTTAGCTAAGCTGCTATGGGCTATAGTGAAGTGGGCATGGTTTTGATCGCAGAACAGGGGGAGATTAGAAATTCCCTCAGCCAACCACAGAGCTCGTCTAGAAAGAGATGGAGATCTATCTCTCTCGTGGCCCAAATTGTAAGATTGGGGCTCTTGTCCACTCTATGCTTTTTTCTCTATCTCTATGTCGCTAACATAGCGTTACAAAGATCAGTAACAGTATATTAGCAACAGAACAACATTAATGTTTTACAAAGCAATAAATTATTAATAGTATTAATGTTAAATTTTATAATGACATAACTTTCACGTATAATTATTACCTAATTAGTATTTAAAATACTATTTATTACTATGTAATTATATCATTCAAACAGAATTCCTTTTAAAAATAATACTTTGTACCATAGACAAGGACAAACTCGTTCATCATTCGTATCATTCATTACGCAATTTTTTTATCTATGATTCAGAAGTGACCTACCCTTAATTTGAGGGATTGTCTTCTTAACTGATATTATTTCTTCTGGATAGATAATGTAACTTCGGTTTGTATAAATCTGATTTGTCATATCTCTGGACTTTGTTTCTTGGGGCGGATTTCATCTTCCCGTTTGGCGTTTGAAGAGTGACAGGTGTGTTCTGTTCGTAATTTTCTACTGATTTGTCGCTGGAAGGACTGTTAGGTAGATCTGTAATGAGGTAAACATCAATATCAGAATAAGTGCAAAAATCTTTGACACGTCCTATTTTTGTCCCATAGATGGCGTAACTCATAAGCTACTGCCTGTCATCCACAGATGGCGCTACAATTATCTTCTAACAATATTTTTCTTGGCAAGTATTGACTTGCCACTGACAAATTAAATGGCGTCCTATTACAATAAGCTTAGAGTTCAAGTTCCAAATGATTTTGTTAGTTGTATTAGTATGTTCATACTCAATAAATGAAAGTTTAGTTTTATTAACTATAATTGTTAGCATCATTTAGGATAGATAGAAAATATCATCAATAGAAAGAGTGGAATACCCAATAATAAAAACTTCAGAGTAACTTCAAAAATTGTACTACTAATATTTTATGACTATTTACCTTAAATAGACGCAGTATTACTGATATTATTTATTTAAAGACCCAGTAATATAAAATCCTAAATTATTTAAGTCCGTCATTTTATTTAAATCTGTCATTATCATTTAAGTCCGTCATTATCATTTAAGTCCGTCATTATCATTTAAGTCCGTCATTATCGTTTAAGTCCGTATTAACCTAATGGTAATTAGACTGACTAGATGTTGGTATTAAGCCAGGTTGTACTTAAATTGGTCAGAAATATATTCGAATACCCTCTGTAATTTTATTTAAGTATAGTATAATAGTCCATGAGTTTAATATATAATTTGATCGGACTCACTAGTTTTCTTAGGCCTCGACAGACCGACCCGTCTCGCTCTGCCCAAGTATTTCGACCTCTGTGGGTGTGAAACCCTGTTGTTGTTTGTTATTTCTTCATTTTCTGAAATGTTTTCATTATAAATTGCTTATTATTGGGCACTTGGTGATATTCGCTCGCTAGCTAGTCGATAGTAACAGACAGATCGTCAATATATATATAGTGAAAAAACTATACACGTTTTTACTTTGGTATCTAGACCGTTGTTAAAAAAATAAATCTGTACATGCAAAGTGGATCAAGCCGAAAGAAAGAATAACATACAACATAGATAGACAGTAGAGATATAGACAGATATATTAGGAAAGTTTGTAATAAACTTCGATCCACTTTATGTATTAATGCGTGATCGTAAAATTTTGAATAATTAAGATTAATATGTAGAAGAAATGCAGAGCTAGAATTTTTAAATAATATTAACAATACAGTAAATATTTTGATTGTACAAAAGTTTATACAATGGCAGTTCATAACTCTTTTTCTAAGGAGAGACAGTCCAGCAGTGGACTATTAAAGGCTGTTGATGATAATGATAACTTGAACGGCCATTGTATAAACTTTTGTGGTGATGAAATAAATTGAAACACAATGTTAACATTCGACCGCCTCTTATTTACATTTTAATTAGAGAATAAATTCTCTGTTTATAGTGCATTAGTTAATAAGAGAACTGCAGAATACCGGAACTATTTCATTCCTTCTGTTCATTCATTCATTCATTGTTAACTGTTCAACAGTCAAGAGATACGAATTGTTTTCGGTTGTAGTGTAACCTTGGTATTGTTAATTACCATAGTTATATAATTTTTATGTAATATCGAGGGTACCACGACTTAGCGTCGGAGAGCCATGTTTCGGGCCGTCTCGACTGGAGTGATTACATGACCTCAAAAAAAACCGGTGAATAATTTTTTTGATGATTTTCACAGAATGAGTGTAAACCAGAGGCCCAGGATATTGGAGGAAATACTTAAAGTTTGACAACATACGTGAGTTGCAGGCGTCTACCGGCGGCGGAGGTCATTTACCATCAGAAGGGTCCGTGTGCCCTCTTTACCATAACTAAACCAGCCAAGTACAATCAATTTAGTTTTGTTTAGAATTGACTTATGACGTTAAACAGTAATTTTGCTAAGCCTTATATAGTACAAGTTCGCCTTATCTATTAAAATTTAAACACAAAAATGAAATTAACATCTCTGTAACGTTATGGTCTGCAATAGCACACCATAACGTTACAGAGATGTTAAAATCTTTGTTATGTATACATCTAAAACTTGACCACATTTAGCTGGTTTTCGCTGTAAACCCTCGATACTTTTATTCTGAATACACAATCTCTATATACATGCTTTCTTTATTCTGAATTTAGAAAAGTCAGATGATTTTTTGAATGCTTTGATATTCCTAGATCTAAAATTTATAAAGTATATTTGAGAACAGATTAGCAATTCGCAATCGCAACAACCAAAGGAAAAAAAAACTCACCTTCTGTAGTTGATGATATTTGATCTGAATCACTGAGCTTCCTAATCTTAGTCAGCACTTGCCTATTATTGTTAACGGTACTCTCAACTTCAACAAACTTCCTCTTTAAAATCAGGTTACTTTCTATGCTTGAATCCGTACAATAATCTATAGTAGGATTATCACTTTCTATTACACTGCCAAGTATGATCTCCATTACTTCTTGCCGAGATGTCTTGTTTACCATCTCTTCCAATTTAGCATCATAATCACTGGATAGCTCGAAAGAACATTCAGATTTGACAGGACTGAATACCGGTGATGGTGATTTGGAGTGATAACTATTATGTGATGGTGATGTTGAGTCATAGTTACTTTCTAAAGGTAATATTATCTCTGATGCAAGATTTACATTTTTGACTACATTTTTTGCGGTTTTCGGTAGTTTTAAATGTCCATTTTTATAGTAATTCACTATTTCATAGTCCCCGAAAGTCAAGAATACCTCTTTAACAATATTTTCTTCGTACGTGTCACAGTTAAGCAAATAAACTTTCCTTGGAGATATTTTTTCACTGTAAGCTTTTAAGAAATCACTGAACTGATTTCTTTTACGTTCAGCTTCATACTTCTCGTCTTCACTGAAATATCTTAATGAGTCATCTTCCATATTTAAGTTATTAACTTTAGTTTTATTAGGTGTTACACTTTCAATTTCAAATTTAGGTTCTACTTCATTATATTCTGGCGACATGACGTCATGTTCAGTTTTTAAGGGTTCATCTATGACGGGTTCGTCAGTTTCCGACAGCTCTTCAGTAATGATGGTAACTTCAAAATACTCTGTCCTGTTCTTACTCTCTGTATCAGTAATATCAGACTTAACGTCATCCTTTTTCTTCTCAGACGCCTTGCTAATTTCTGATATTTCATCCATTAGTTGAGAAAATGGTTTATTTTCGTTATAAGTTACATGTCTGTCTAGGCTTGGTATCTCTTCTTTTATAACTGTATTCTCTATTGGTGGGTCGATAACTTCATTAATTATTTCGCTTTTGTTTACAGTTACTTCCTGATTCTCTTCTTTTTCTTTCACTGTATCAGAATCTATTGGTACAAGTTCAGTTTCTTCAAGTTCTGTTTTATATCCTTGAGCTTCTATTTTATTAACTTCGTTAGTATGGTTAATGCAAGCAAATTCAAGCTCGGGGCCAGGAATACTAGAATAAACTTGGCTCAAACTGGGTCTAACGTTTGCTTGAAATTCAAGAAGTAATGCAGCTTCTTGATTCATTCTTTTCTGTTCTTCGTCGAGAAACTTTCGCATTTTCATCATGCGTTTCGCTTCTTCCAAATTAGCGGCAAATTTAGGTTTTTTTAACGTCACGTCTGGGACAAATGGTAACCTTGGAGGGCTGGCTATAGGAACTTCTAAATGATTTTCCACTCTTATCGGCCTTTGAGAACTTTTAATATCATTGGCTTTATTCATACCTTGTTCTTTGTCACAGGGGCTTACAGAATCACCACTAGTTGAAGTATTATCAGATTTAGAACTAGATCCTTTGCTTTCTTTTTTGCTTTCCGTAGTTTTAGAGGCGGAATGGTTTTGAGAACCCTTAGACGAAGAGCTACCGTCGTTAGAATCTCGATCTGTAGACCGCCTTCCGTGATTTCCCCTACCGGACAAACTGTAATGATCATCAGTGTCCTTTTTATCTTTCTTTTTATCTTTATCATCATGTTTACTCTTACTACTGCTCTTTCTATCTTTATCTTTGTCAGATCGATGTGAACTCGATTTACTATCTTTTTTATCTCTAGTACTTTTGTCGGAACTTCTTTCCGATCTTTCTTTATGACTGGAAGAAGTACGTTTATCGTCTGAAGACCTTTTGTCGCTTTTATCACTTGTCTGTTTCTGGCTTGAGCTAGACCCGCGATGTGACTTACTGCTAGTTGCATCTCTGTGGCTTGAGCTTTTGTGACTCGAACTTCTGTGTTTAGATGAGTCCCTGCTGTCTTTTTTGTCACCTTTGTCCCTAGACTTGTCGCCTTCTTTATGACTGCTTTTTGATTTGCTATGGTCATCTTTAGATTTTTTATCGTGACGACTACTATCTCTAGAACGGGACTGTTTAGAATCGGATCTTTTATCTTTACTGCTAGAATGTCTATGAGAATCTCTAGATCTGTAGGAACTTTTGTGTGAACTACTGCTCTTCTTTTCATCAATCTTTTTATCTTTTTTATAATCCTCAGAATTGTTATCATTTTGTTCAGGTGCTTTTTCCATGTTATTAGTTTTGCTGTTTACATCACTTTCGTAGTCGATTTGTAGATTATGGCTATTCGAGCTATCATCGTAAAGTGGAGTGTTGAAGGTATTCTTATTTACTTGATTATTAAACGGATAGGCAATGTTTAGTTGCTCATTGTTATCTTTTTTCTCAAGCTGTCCTTGTAAACTATTTTCTGGAGATTTGGTGTCTAAAGCAAATCTAAATGAACTTGGCTCTTTTTTGTCATTGCTTTTGCTATCAGAATCGTCATCAAATCCTTGTTGCGCATCACAGGAATTTTCAATATTGTAGTCCCTGATGGGAGTCAAAGGCGACATATTTCTCCTCAATGAAGAACCGCTACTTGAATCCTCATCACTAGGAAGTTGTACAGGTTTAAAGTATGAATCTTTATCTTCTTTAGGCAAATTAGGTAAAGGAATCTCATCTGGGTGAGGAACTTCGGTTACAGCTTGTTCAATTTTGTCTAGCTCAAACTTCGGTGGACTATTTTCTGGTGCTGGAATATTCTCCAACTTGATTTCTTCATGGGCCAAGGGCTTAGGTTTGTCTTCACTGCTTTCAGAATCAATTACCAAATCAATTATGGGTGGCAACTGCAATTCTTCTTTAACCTTTTCAGGTTCAGCCTCTTTCTTGTCAACAAGTTTATCTTCTGCTTTCATGTCTTCATCAACATCCATTTTAATATTGTCTGCCTTGTCTTCATCCATGGCATCTGCTTTATCGTCATTGCTTTTGACAGAACCTGGACTAACAGCTTCCAGGTCCGTTGGTAAAAGATCATCTGTGCTGATCTTTCCGTTGGAAGTTTCTGCTGTACTTAAGGATTTTTTTCTGGATATACCTAAGTAGTTGTACACGAGGTCTTCTACTTGCGGTATAAATACTGATGCCACTTTAGGGTTCACAACTTGATCTACGATGCGTTCGACACCTTGCTCTAAATAGTTGCCACTGCAAAATATAACATCATAGTTGTTAGACACTTGGAATTCAAGCTTGCGTTGCTGCTCTTTGGGGATTTAGTTCCCCAGGAACCTCGCTCACCAGAAAAAACAACGAAAGAATTTTCTGGGAGGCGGCCCATAATTATGTGTTCATGCAGGACTCTCTCACACAAACAAATAAATTACAGACCTGTTGTTCAAATAGTAATGATCCTGACTGCTAAACTAGAGTTCTTGGGTATGATTTCCATCTAAGACAAAATGTAATGGTCTCTTCCCTTTTTTTTTTTAAAAACAACTTTCGCATTAGGAATATTTCCTGTGTCGTGGGGGACTTTACAAACATACATGAAACGGACACAATGAACACCCAGACTCAGAACAACAATTTGTGGATCACACAAAGTGTCGTCCCATGTGGGGTTTGAACCCACAACACTCGGCGTAGTAGGAAGCGGCGTGGCGACCGCTTAAACCACTACGCCATCCGAACAGTCCGTCCATCCGTGGTGTGATAAGCATGTTCATTTCGTCTGAATCTGGGTGTAATTAGTTTATAATATGTATGTTTCACATATTTTACATGTGTATAGTTATGTTAATCAGCGGCCTGGTTATTTTAGTAAATTACTCGCTCTTCCTACTCTAGGACCAGACGGACATGGACATTGGCGAAAGAATTTTGACGAAAACTACATATATTTGGAATCGAATGCTTTCGAAGCACATACTTTCGTTCTTGTTTTTTAATAATTATTTTTTACATTTCTTTCAAGTTTCTATCTCGGGGCACTAGTTATTGAAAAGAAGCACTTACTCCAATATGTGTTTCCTGAGCTTCTCGCGAAGTTGGTTCTTGTTCAGGTCCGGTTTCCAGCATTGACGAGAGAGAAATGAGGACACGGAGTTCTCCACGCGCTGGCGAAGGTTTTGATACGCGGGGCGAGTGTCCACATCTGCGATACATTCCTTACGAAACTGTAGAGAAAAAGAGGCATAACATAAATAATGGGCCTGTTGATTTAGTGGTTAGGGATCCAGATTCATCAATCATCATCATCAACAGCCTATACTAGTCCACAGCTGGACATAGGCCTCTCCTTAGAAAGGAGGTTTTGGCCTACTATACCACGCTGGCCAGACGGGTTGGTATAGGGTTTGTTTCAAGTTTCCCTTCTCTTGCAGTGCTGTTGTCCTGCTTAGTTTGCTCCCTTAGTCGGCTCTTACGACACCCACGGGATGAATTGGGGTGTTGACAATTTGTATTCTTAATCCGTCACCACACGGACAACCAGATCCAGATTGCTAAGCCAGAGGTCATGTGTTCGATTGCCACCCAGGACAAACATTATGTAATGGTTGAGTGTAGTTTATCTATACAAATAAATAAAATTAAAGTGTATGTTTGTAATGTCAAAATATAAGTTTTTTCCATGCACACGCGGTTATTTGAACGATACCTATGAACCAACCTATAAAAACCAGTTTAAATATTTTTTGTTTGCCTATTTGTCTGTTTGTTCCAGGTAATCTTCAAAACGGCCGGATCGACTTTGATAATATTTTACTACCAGATAGATAGATAGATAGATAAATACTTTATTTGTACACCAGGGTTTTACAGATATTATAAAGTAATTAGGTATCTGTCTATACAAGGAGTAACTGAGACAATTTTTTTCTCTCAGAAAAACCCTATAAAATTTTGGCTGGTCCGGGAATCAAACCTACTAAGGCAGCGCTTTTCAAATTCCACGCGAACGAAATCGCGGGCACTAGCTAGTCAATAATATGAATGTATTTACAATAATATAAATTTGTTTAACAGTAGTCTGGTCAGCATAGCTACTACCTCCAGTTCTTAAAAAGGCAATCTCCTAAAGTTAACTGATTTCTAAAAAATAATACAACAAGATATATATTTATTAAAACCCTTAACTTACAAAAAAAATATATGAATTATGAATTATTTATGTGATCCTTAATCTTAATATTTAAATGTGAAATGATTTTGTGACCGCCTAAATCACTACGCCATACGTGAATTAATACCATAAAATACAGAAATGTATTTAAAATCACAAACACAACAAATTTATATTCTACTACCTGGCCCGCACAACTTTGTCTGCTTCCCTCAAAAGGAATAAATGTTCACCGTTTTCGCAACATTTCTCATTGATACTCGGCCCCTATCGGTGGTAGCATGATTGTATATAGCCTATATCCTTCCTATTTATATTAGTAAAATAATTTTGTAATTCAACCTATGAATTCCTGTGATTACCCCGGACTTTTAATCTTTCAAACTTTACCTCTTTATAATATGTATTAGAATAGATTCGTCACAGTCTTCTGCCTCATTCACTCACTCACTTTTCATATAATTGGATTTAAAAACAATTTATTTGCTTACTATTTGACAAAACAGCGATTGTTGCTTTTGTGTGTGTTGATCTATGACTTTAGAGTCTACATAAAAGACGATTTCAAACAATTTTAATTTTTTATCAAATAGAGTTTGAGTTTGAATTTCCGTTCGACTTTTTTTTAATTTTCTTTCATACAAACCTTGTTTATCCATTTTATTCGTTATTTTTATTTATATAAAAGAAGATAGAAGAAGAAGATAAAAGAGGAAGATAGAAGTAGAAGATAGATAGCTACTTCACTATTGACACTTAAATTAGGAGCAGATTAGTGCCTCATCCTAATATAGTCAAACACAGTTCTGTATATTAATCAAAAAGTATGTTTTACAAATACTCCCATGGATTTTAAGTCTGATTTAAGGAAGCGAATTCAAAGTCAAATTAAAATCATTCTGTAGTATTCATATTATAGTTACTTCTACTGTTGAAGCTGTTCGCTTGTGGTAATCATCAGCTGAGCACAAACAACAAACAGTTTAAAGAAAATGGTTCAAGAATTTTATGTATCTTAATTAAGTCCATTACATATTAAGACATGGTGTGAAATGGTTTTCTTTTGTATGTGATATCACTTAAGTACCTATATGTAGTTATGTATATTTGTTGGTAGGTATAAATAAGTGTTTTATGTGTATTTATTTATCTAATTTTACCTCAGTTATATTCATTAGTAATCAACCTGTCAAAAGTCATTGCATCTTTAACTACCACTGTCCCTATGAAACATTTTACGAGTAATCCATTCTAGGGTTGTTTGGAAGAGATTGCTCTTAGCAATAAGTTCACCCTTTGTACATTACATGTCTGTCTTTTTTTTATTTACCATACTTATTTAAAATGGTGTACAAAAAAAGAGTTTTCTATCTATCTATGGTAATATACTTTACTATCCTGCAATTAGATTATAAAATTATAAATAATATAATTCATTTGTGAATATGGATATATTTGCAGATCTTATAAGCTAATAAAATCATTGCTCTTTCACCATTATCCAACCATGGGGTATGAAAAAAAAAAAAGAGAGAGAGAGAGATATTAACCTCCAAGCCAAAACCTCCTTCCTAAGGAGAGGCCTATGTCCAGCAGTGGACTAGTAAAGGCTGTTGATGATGATGATTTTTTTAGAATGCCCAATCATAATAAATGATAAGATGTCATATCAATAACAAAACTGAATGACAATAACAAAAAAAGAATCACAAATTTATCAGTCATCTACTTAAAACTACAAGTCTTTTATCCAAATGTTATTATTATGTATTTTTATATGTCTTTGACAATGCCTTATGAATAATTGTATACTTAGAATATTCGGATGATTGATTTTGATGTCGGACACACAGACACATTTTAGGTTGATGAACAAAGTAAGTAAGTAAAATATGTAATGATTGCAGATGTGAATTTCTTTGTAACTATTCTAACTAGGGATAGAATAAAATCACAATCACTTGTGTAAAATCATAAGATTTATAAATCATATCATAACACCTGTGACTGAATTACAAAACTGCTGCTACTTAATTATTGAAATCGCTGTGACTAAAATTTTTTTTAAATTTCATCAAATGAATATGATTCAAAAGCAGCAATGATTTCCATGTCTAATTCTAACTAACTAAAAGGCCTGCTGGTCTGGTGGTTGGTGCTCCTAACTGTTAAGCCAAAGGTAGGTAAGGTAGACAGCACTGCAGAGAGAAGGAAAACTTGACACAAACCCTATACCAACCCGTCTGGCCAGCGTGGCATAGTATAGGCCAAAACCTCCTTTCTGAGGAGAGGCCTATGTCCAGCAGTGGACTATTAAAGGCTGTTGATGATGATGATTGATGAGGTAAGGTAAGGTTTATTTCCAATTGTAAGATGATCATACGAGATGAGATGAATTTATCTATAATATGTATGTATTTAGAAATCTAAGTATGTTTATCAGCAGTCTGGTTACAAAGTACAGGCTCTGCTTAGTTTGGGTTCTGACAGCCGAGTATGAAATTTCTGAGGTTATTATTTTATTGTTATAACTAATCATTAAGCTTTACAACTTTTGTTTGGGAATTAATGTGAATAGTTATTACATGGCTTACGTCAGACTGTGATCACAACCAGTACAATCTCATCGCAACATGAGAAAATTCAAAGGTCTGCTATATCTATCATAAGAACCTAATAAAACCCATTCAAATCTTTTAAATACTATTACTTTGAAGTATTTGAGTACACAATCATTCAGAATAAACACACATTCAAGAATATTTTTTTATGGAAGAGGGGACAGTCTAGCATACGGGTAACCTGTCATTTTTAACATAGGTAAGCGCTATATTTTTGTATGTCTAAGATTTGGTGAAGTTTCAGATAAAATTTGCAAATAATCCTGATTGGAAACTCCTTGTATTTGTTCCAATAAACCTTAGCTTATAATATAAACTTGGGGTGCTTAATAACTACTAAAAATGAATAGAGATGTGTAATTCCTTACCTGTACCTATTAATTCCTAAATTACAATTGATAATATTGCTCTATGAAAAGTTTTAGTTATTCTAAATAGTTACTTTTAATAATGTGTACTACTAGGCTTGTTATAAATCAATAATTTATATCAATCCCTTCAACCCCAACACATCCAATATGAACTGTGTTCATATTGATCTTTTTTATTTACATGAAGACATGTCAGAACTTCTTGAATGTAACTGTATATTCTGTATTATCAAGAAAAACATGAATAACAGAGAACGCATTTGATAATTCAATTTTCCTAAATAAAAAAATTTAACTATTGTATGTTTAATAAAATGTGATTCAAGGGACATGCAAGGTCAGACTTATTACTGAAATAGCGTCTCTGTAGTCCTTAAAACCTTTAAAAAATTCCACTATACGATAACTAGATGACAATCTTCTTACCTGATCGAATATTCCTTTAGACTTCAGCTCGTATACTAGTTGGTCTACGAGACGAGGATCGCCCGGCATGTATTGCAAATGCGCCATATTTAAGACATTTACTGAATAAGAAATTAGTAAAAATTAATATTATAACTAAGTTAAGATATACTGGGGCTAATATACAATTAAGAATTAAAAATAAAATGTTTAAAACACAGAAGAAATGAAATACGACAAACACAGTCAATATTTTAGGGACGTATAACAGATTGTCAGATTTCGATAAGTACTTGTATATGTTATTTCGATAAATGCGTTGTTAACTCATTGACATTCACATTCTGTAGTGAGTGTTTTTAATTATTTCACTATTTATTCTCCTCATCTGTTCATAAAGATATTTTTGGTTTTATTTATTTACATTACTTTTACTTTTGTACGTCGGTCTTCCAGTCAACTATTGGGTGATGTAGAAATCGTATGAGCTTCCTAGGCGAACCATGTTACCACTTTAAGCTAATTTTGAAAAGAAATATGGCTTATTATTGAAGGATAAAATATTTTGTATCTAAGTGATACAGCTTCCAAAGTTTTTGACCCTGTTTTTATCAGGCAGATATTACGTTTAGGAAAAGAAGACTATGACATCTTTAAGATTATTTATTTGATTAGTATTCATTTTGAAATTGGTTTTTGAAAAGTAAATATTTAAACAAATACCTTATCCAAAACCATTTACAATAATATTTTAAAACCTATGGGCCTATCCTATCGAATAAGTCTTTTTTTTACAGCCAGTGTGTAAGCTACCGGGAACTGTGACTTTTGTGGAATTGACATATTTTATCGATAAAATCCCTACCCTAGGGACTTTAAAAAATGGAGACAGGCAGTGAAATATTGTCAAAAAGCCTAATAGTTTAAGACAAATTCATTTATTCGTGTAAATTTTTAACGTATTTTTTTTTGGACATCATGAATTGTAATAAATAAGAGTCCATTAATTTCTGGAAATTTAAAAAAAAAGTGCTTAATAAATTACATTTCGAGGCGTCATAGTGCACGATGATACTGCATCTAGGGATAGTTTGTCGGGCAAAAATAATCTACGAAAATATTTTAATTTGTACGTGAATCAACAAGGTCTTTTTGTAATAGAAAAGTACTACTACGATACAAGTGTAAAAAATATTCTTGGCTTGGTCACACTACCGGTAACTGTGTTGTCAAAATTTTAAAATTTTGTGTTCCCTTTGCGTGTAAAATTATTTGAAAAAGTAAAAATATTATGAAATCTATTCCAGCCATAAATGAAGAGCATGAGAGAATATGTTCAGGCTTAATTCAGAGGGAAAAACAGGAAGGATTTTCTGCAGGTAAGCGCAATTTCTACCTCAACTAAGATTCCGTACGTTAGATATTATCCAGATAAAGATATTTCTAAAGCATTTCATTGACCCGAGAGTTTTTCAATTGGTCGCGTAATAGTTTTCAGCTGATTTGCTTAGAATTGGTTAACCTCCAAATATTTAGCGCTATATTTTCATATGTCTAAGACTTGGTGAGGTTTCAGATAAAATTTGCAAATAATCCTTATTGGAAACTCCTCAACCCATAACATGTGATGTTATTGACGGAAATATCGAATATTTCTTTTTTAAATAAAAAAAAATTGTAAAAGCTAGAAGCGCGAAGTTCTGGTCTTGGTTATATCCTGTATAAACTGCTTAGAAAATGGATAAATTAGTCTCTTATACCATTAAAACAGTACACAAAGCGTACCGAGAAAAAATGTTGACACCTACAAGTTTTATAGATTTATCACTACAAAAAGCCAAACAAACAAATGAACTGAATGCTTTTGTGACTCTAACAGAAGATGAAGCAGAAAACCATGCCATTGAGAGTGAAAAGAGGTTTTATATTGATAAGAATACAAAAAGTTTGGATGGCATTTCTATAGGAATAAAGGATAATTTTTGTACAAGCAGTATTGTGACCACTTGCGCTTCAGACATGCTTAAAAACTTTGTACCTACATATGATGCAACAGTATATTCAAGGTTGCGAAATGCTGGCGCATGCTTAATTGGCAAATGCAATTTAGATGAGTTTGCTATGGGGTCTGGCACTGTTGATTCTCTTTTCGGACCTACTCGTAATCCTTGGGGATATACAAAGGACAGATGGAGGATTGCAGGTGGAAGTTCAGGCGGTAGTGCTGTAGCTGTTACCTCTGGAGCTTGTGTAGCAGCCATCGGTTCAGATACTGGCGGTTCTACTCGAAATCCTGCAGCACTATGTGGAGTCGTAGGCTTAAAACCAACTTATGGTCTTGTATCCCGATATGGCTTAATACCACTAGTTAATTCCATGGATGTGCCTGGTATCTTAGCAAGAACAGTTGAAGATGCAATTACAATATTAAACACAATTGCAGGCCCTGATGTATTAGATTCCACTACTTTTAAAGAGCCTTTTAATCCAATAGAGTTAGGAGATATTGATTTAGGTCGAGTTAGAATTGGAATTCCAAAAGAATATCACTGTCAAGGTATGAGTAAGGAAATAATAGAAACATGGAGTTATGTGATAGATTTACTTGAAAAGGAAAAAGTCAAAATGAAGTCGGTTTCATTGCCCAATACATCTGTTTCTATAGCTGTTTATTCAATTTTGAACCAATGTGAAGTTGCAAGTAACATGGCTAGATATGATGGTGTAGAATTTGGTCTAAGAACCAAAGAGGACTCTTCAACTGAAGAACTGTATGCATCCACAAGGCTCAAAGGTTTCAACAATGTCGTCCGTTCAAGAATTTTAGCGGGCAATTACTTTTTATTAACGAAGAACTATCAGAACTACTACATAAAAGCTTTGCAACTTCGCAGACTGATACATGACGATTTTAAAAATGTTTTCAATGGTGAAAATGCTGTTGATCTTCTCCTAACTCCAACAACATTATCTGATGCACCATTATTTGAGGAGTTTACTTCAAAAAATAACAGAGACCAGTGTGCATATCAAGATTATTGCACACAACCGGCTAATATGGCTGGAATACCAGCTGTTTCAATTCCTATATGTTTGTCTAAGAACAATCTTCCATTGTCGTTACAGTTGATGGGTCCTCGTCTCTCTGAAGCGTTGATGATGAATGTAGCTAAGCACATTGAAAGTATTGTGAAGTTCCCAGCTTTAAATTATCCATAAATACACATGGTATCTAATAAATGTTGTGCTTAGAAATGCCTTGTATTTATTACAATTTGTAACTGTAGTATTGGTTACGGTAGTTACAGTTGGATGCTTGTACAGAGAAACACACATCCCCATGTGGGGATCGAACCCTCAGCGTAGTAGTAAGCGGCGTGGCGACCGCTTAAACCAATACGCCATCCGTGCAGTCAAATGCTTTTGATTTAATTTGATTCAGATTATATTAAAATATCATAAACAACTGAAGCTAAAATAAAATGCTGGTGGTGTAATAAAATAAGAATAACTTAGTATATTCTTGATAATAAATTTCTGTATCAACAAGAAAACCAATGCCAAATCTGTCCAACCTTAAGTACGATTACATTTACGATACTTGTATACGATTTTTCCACAAGATTTTGGATTCTATAATAATTATTAATATACCATAAGGTAATCGTGGAAGCTTGTGGCTGAGTAGTGACCAAGCAGGTTAACACATTGCAAAGTTAAGCAATCCTGGCCTGGTTGGTCTATGGCTGGATAAACGTTTTTAACACATTGAGACCCCTCCATGTCTCGGAGAGCACGTTAAGCCATACGATCATCTGTGGCAATCGTTACGGGTTGTTGGAGCCCTAAAAAAAGTCCGACAACAGTCTACAGAACTCCAATAGTAAATACTTAGTATACTTGGACTGTGGAGGGCTCATGGCAGTTGCTCCGCGTAAAAAATCGAAGTTCAGCCGTATTGTTGTAGACTTACAGCCGACCCCCAACCTAAAAAAAGCTCGGTGGAACGTACCATAGCCTACACACAAGGCCAACAGGACAGCGTTAAGCAATTCTTTCTTGAGTCAGTGAGTGAGGCTATCGAAGCCCCCTCCTGACTTTCGGTGGGAAATCGAATGGGCGGCGGTAGTCACTTACCGTCAGGTGGCTCGTCTGCCCCCCTAAAATCATAGAGAAATAACTTTTGCTTGTCTCATTAAGCCGCGCGCATGAGCTTAAGAAAGAAGTAAATTGGGGTTTCGATCCCTTGTGGCTCTTAAATAAATTCATCGCCAAGTTTTACAATAGCTGTAAAAATCATTAGATATGATGAGAAATTAACCTTGCCTCTTGATAATTTTTATGATTATAGGTCTGTTTCAAGAGAATGTGGACAATTATTTAATATTAATTTCAACTCCATATTTCTACATACTCCACAGAGTAAGGGTCTTTTCGAACAGATAGACAGACGGCGAAGTGATAGGATAAGGGTTCTGTTTTTCTTTGTAAGGTACGGAATCCCAAGGGCTCCGTCAGTGGCATATAGCTGGGCATGCCACTCTTGTTCCGTTGCCTGCAGAATGATAAACAGGGCTAAGGGTGATTATTTATGAAATCGCGGGTCGTTGACAACGCGTTAAGATCATAACCCATTAAACCCACCCGATACCATGTCAGCACCACCTCGTCGCTTGGTGTCCACTCGTTGTCGACAGGTTGTCGACGGGTGCACGCCGTGTTGTCAACCAGTGAACGTTGGGTGGTCGCCAAGTGAACATTGCTTTGCGAATAGATTAGTATTTTGTAGGGATCACTCGCTGATACATCATCCTCGCGCGTGAACCACTCACGGTCAGAACCTCTGCCTGGGCAACGGATGTTCACCGATTACTTGTCCGATTTTCTCCCTGGACTAAAGCTAATCTGAATCACCCACGAATGGCACCATTTATCAGAGGCGACGAATTTAAATAACACATTTTTGGTTTGTTTTTGAAAATTATTGGGGAACGTCCCAATGATTTCAAAAAACAAATTTCCAATTCCAAAATCGATTACTTCCTTGAACGTCTGTTACATGTATAGTAAACTCCATAATTTACCCGAAAGTAACACGGTTTAACATTGTCAGAGTTTGTGATCAAATACGCTCACTTAAGCTAAGTTCGCCAGGCAGCTGAGGAGGAAACAGAGTGCAGAAATTGCCACTGGTAAGGAGCACGGCTTGCGTTATTGTAAGACTATCTTTTAGTATTGTTTTGTACCCTTATTGTTGTTTTATTGTGTATGCGCCGCGTTTCTGCATGGGCGCGGGGAAAGGATAGCGGGGGGACTGTTGCACGTGGCCTGAAATGCACGTTGCAACAGGCCTCTAGGTAGTCGATAGCTAGCCTCCCCGCCAGGCAGTCCATAGCTAGCCTTCTCGTAGTGTAGTTCTTGTAGTAGTAATAATGTGATTAAATAGTCAATATTCCCGTGTCTGTGTGTTTCTCTGCTACTTACTGATTAGCAACCCCGCACCTCACTTACAGCCACTAACTAACAGATTCTCTTTAGTCTGCGTTTTTAGTTCTTGAATAAGATTAAATGTTAATACTTAGGGTATGAAGTGAACGAATTTAGACGAGAAGTCACGAAGTCACCAATTAAGGAAGTGCACGAATTAAAACCTGGAATTACGAAAAATAAATTATAAAATTTTTTTGGCTTACAAATTTAAAATTATCAACCACTGTTATTCGCTTAATAATTGTTTCAGCTTCTTTAACATCCGAGGTTCTATCGCACCTTAATATTTCCATCGAGAGCTTACCACAAAAATGCCAGCAGCTTCTACGCCAAACAGCCGAGGGGCAGCAAGCAATGGACATCGACCAACTCGATCCTATAGCCATCTCTCTAAATCAAACGAGAGAAACGTCACAGAAACTAGACGAAGAATACGAAATTTTAAAACTTAAGCAAAAGAATATCGAGTTGCAAGCGAAAATTGACCGTAATAACAAGTTTTTGGATGGTTTGAGAAAAGAATTGCAAGCGTCGAAAGATTCGCTTGCGGAGCAGAATCCCAATCCTGATAATATCCACGATTATATAAGGCAATTAAAGCAGAAGGTTGCGTCGTACGAAGAAAGTTGTGAGAAAGCGAAGGTAAGATATTTTAATATGCCTTTTTTGCTTTACCTATAACCAAACCATATATTTAAACTAACCTTGGAAGTCAATTCTAACCTACTATTGTCAGATTGAAATGGAACTGGATGACCACGCTGTAATTTGGCATCTTGGAGCCGATCTGATGATGGATCTAGGAGCTGGATAGCGAACACTGGTGCTTTTGTTTGCCTTTATATTATTTGTTTTGACAATTGACAAGATTTGACAGATTGGCTTTGGGAACGATCTGATGACGAAGCTAGGTATTAAAAGCCTGCTAGTAAGGGGTTGCCTAGAATAATTATCTTAGTCCACAACAAATTCACAATCTAAACTATTAACGTTCACCCTACAGATTTCTAGAGATGCCAAAAGTACTACGACTGGTGTGGCAAACTCACAACGGTAAACCAGTGTTGCCGCTTGCGAGATCCCAACTTAAAAGAACTTCAATTAAACTCAGACCCACAACATTTACTAGACTATTGGCCCTAGTTAACCCCCTTACTGTGTATTGTGCGATTTTGAATAAAAAATAGTTTGTTTATCGATTCTAGGCCAAGTTCATAAAACTCGCAGTACCTGACGCCATATTGCCAACGTCGCTGCAGGCGCTGGTTACGTCACTCGCGGCACTCCGCGAAGAAGCTGCTGCACTTCAACTGCAAGTTGATGATGTAGCACTAGCGAGGGAAGCACGAGAAACGTTTATAAGGCTAAGGAAATAAAGTCTAATAATAAGTGCAAGTTTGTTTTAATTCCATTAAAATCAGCAACGGAATAGGTAAATAGTACTAAAGAACAGAAAGCTTGCTTATTAGTCTGTTAAATAAAAATGATTCTTGCAACTACGTAATAAAATGCAGATTAGCTTAACACCATTTGATACACCATGTAAGCCATTATGTACCTTATATCTAACACAGGAAAGATAATTTTCGTACAGAACTCAGTGTAAAGATGTCATTTGAACAATACTATATTGCTTGATTTACCTACTAATACAAGATTTGCTACACTCCCTCGCACGTATTTGTTTATTAATAACAATTTTATTATCCTCTAAGGTTATTATATTTCCTGGTTGTCAGAGAGCCAGGCAGGGTCACGGTAGCGCGAAATTTAGTCAAGATTCGTCTCAACATCACTCATTCTGTGAAAAACAACGAAACAACATTTTCACTCTGGGCTAGCCGACTATTACCTAATAATAATTATATTTAGTCAAAGATATATAGGAAAATCAACATGATTCTACCGTAACTCCTCCGAACTACGAAGTAAAAGTTCTATAGGGCATTACTATAAAACAAACGGCTGTTTCAAATGTTTTACTTGATGAGATAACTACGTAGAAATGGCTACTGTTCCTGCGGTTCGAAGGTATTGTTGTAGAAATCCCCACTTTCTGATGAGAATTCTTCCTTATCTTCATCATCCACGACGCCGATACACGGCCATTTGCAGGTCGTAACTTTTGCAGCTGGTGAAAATTAAATTATAAATTTATTAAATTAAATTGATATCTAATTAATTAAGTAAAAGAATCATCGGAAAGGTCTCCCTGGTGCATATTTTTAAATTAATCATGTATGGAATCTGTGGTACAAGTTATCGTCTGCGGATTTCCGGATCGATACGACCTTCTACTCCTTCCTAAAAGGCCGGCAATGCGCTTGTGACTCCTTGGTTGCAGGCGTTCATGAGCGGAGGTAGTCACTTTCCATCAGGTGACCCATCTGCTCGCTTGCCCTCTTCCGTAAAAAAAAGGAAGTCGCGTCGTCGTCGAGTTGGCTGTCAGATGTTGACAGATGTTTCAGGTTAATCGTATTCAGAGGGGACAAAGAAAAGGGTAATTTGGGACGAAGAAAACGGATAGTGCGACGAAGGGTAGGGCAAATCTGGGATCATCAACAGCCTATACTAGTCCACTGCTGGACATAGGCCTCTCCTTAGAAAGGAGGTTTTGGCCTACTATACCACGCTGGCCAGACGGGTTGGTATAGGGTTTGTTTCAAGTTTTCCTTCTCTTTGCAATGCTGTTGTCCTGCTTAGTTTGCTCCCTTAGTCGGCTCTTACGACACCCACGGGATGAATTAGGGTGGTGACAATTTGTATTCTTAATCCGTCACCACACGGGATAGAAAACAGGAATAAAGATGCCTGCAACTCAAAGAGGCCAGTGTCAAGTATCTGGATATCGAGCTTGGGATTGTCAGGTCACTATAACACTCGTTTTAAAAGTAAATTCATATCCCTACACAAACTAGCCTGAATACGGAGGTCAAACTGAAAGTTTTTAGAAAATAAAAACGGAATGATATAGAGGTCTGTTAATATTTTTATTGTTTTTTCGACGCAGTCTCCGTTCTTTTCCAAGCACCATCGCAATCCAATTCGATGCACGACAGACATTTTAAATTGCTGCCAATTTGTAAACATGTAAAAACAAATAGCATGAAATCATTAACCATCTACGGATTCCCAAAGAGTTCCTAATTCAAAATTTAAAAAGACCGACTGCTTCTCTTACTGGCCTATTATAAAAACTTCCAGGGTGTCCCCCCTATCACATTTAAAGCCCTAGGTAGATTACCTTTTAATTTTTCAGGGCCATGCTGCGTCCTTAGATCCATGTTATGTTGCCCATATCCAAGTACTCCTCTCAAACCCCACAAGAAATAATTCTGGGTCGTGGTGTTAATACCCCGTTCTTTTGTAGTTTGCAGACACTTGTCACGGGGCTCCACGGTCTGACATTGGATCTCGGAGCGAAGGTGGCTATAATGCGTCTGGGTTGAATGGGTCTGACAGTTCACTATTGTAGCCTGGAATCATAAAAATGTTTTACAGGTGAACATAATTATTGGAATGAAGTTCTTTATCGCGCGTTACACTGAGCTGACCGAAAAATGTGTAACAAGAGTTTTGCCGACACTTCAGTTGGCGTGTCGACGCTCACATCCTTTTTATATACATACTAGCTGACCCGCGCAACTTCGTCTGCGTCTCTCAATAGTAATAAATTTTCTCCGTTTTTGGAACATCCTTCATTGGTGCTCCGCTCCTATTGGTCTTAGCGTGATGATATATAGCCTATAGCCTTCCTCGATAAATGGGCAATGTAACACTGAAAGAATTTTTCAAATCGGACCAGTAGTTCCTGAGATTAGCGCGTTCAAACAAACAAACAAACAAACTCTTCAGCTTTATAATATTAGTATAGATATAGCAAACGTCCACCTAAAAGCGAAAGGAACTTCGTTCCGGCCGGGGGTCCAAAGACCCCTGTCGCCGTTTTTTTTATAGAAAATAATTAATCTTTATTTCTAAACATAAAAAAGTATTATTAAGAAAAGAAAATTAATACAGTTCCTAAAGTAAGCGGCGTGGCGACCGCTTAAACCACTACACCATCCGTGCAGTCAAGTTTAATGACATACCCATTGGCAAGCCCTCCTCTTCCACTCCCACAGGTTTGACGTGTAGTTTTTCTCGTGGTACTCCTGTACCGGATGAGCCTCAGTTTGTACGTCTTGATCGATGACTTTTTCTATTTAAAACATAATATTGTTTTCATTAAACCCTCCAAAATAAAAACTACAAATAGTACTACTAGCATTAATAGAGCATTTCTGTTTATGATATGGCGACTACATAGTTATTCTGAGATGGCAATCGCGGCAGAGCCATGCTGAGCAGAAAGGGCAAACAAACTCATGGCCACTCTTTTTTAATTGCATCTAGATACAGTCGCATCATTAAATATATCACAACATTGTTTTGATGTGTGCGCCAGTATGTCATTTGTTAAGTACTAAAAGCTAAAAGCAATGAAGAGAAAACTAGATAAAGAAGAAAGATGGAATAGAATTGAAAGTAAAGTTAAACATATAAAATGAGAATAAAAAATAAAAATCACACTAGGCCCACACTACATTTCCACTTCAGAAATTGCCTGTGCTAAATTAATCGAGGTCCGTGTGGTAACGGATTAAGAATACAGAGTGTCACCACTCCTATTCATCCCGTGGGTGTCGTAAAAGGCGACTAAGGGAGCAAAACAACGTAGGACAACAGCACTGCAGAGAGAAGGAAAACTTGACACAAACCCTATACCAACCCGTCTGGCCAGCGTGCTGTAGTAGGCCAAAACCTCCTTTCTAAGCGGAGGCATATGTCCAGCAGTGGACTAGCAAAGGCTGCCGATGAAGATGATGAAATTAATCGTGGCAGAGTACAGTTAGTCCTTTATAAATATTAATACCACTCACAAAAGTTGATTATACCAACGAATAGGTATTATAGAGATATCAACTCACTCTTCGCCACTCGTTTCGAGACCAACACCTCGTAATTCTTCACCGAGAACACCTTGTCTACTATGTTGAGGAGATTGATTAAATGCGGGTGGTTGCGGGAGAACTCCAACACTTCATTTATATACCTGCACACAATAATTATTTATTAAATAATTATCATTGCACGGAACATATAGGACCGTTTATTGTGGTGAACGTTGAAGAAGGCCTATTTTTTTAAAATTATATTTACTTAAATAAAGAGTACAATAATTTATCATAAATAGTTCTCTAATTTATAAATAAAATACATTTGTTGTTTGTTTGCCCGAACTAGATTGAACCTGTGTCTCGGGCGAAGAAGTGCTTACAAACTATTTTATTAATATAAATCTACATAACTACAATTTAATTATAACATTTTAATAGCCTACATAAGCAACTAGGACCACCAGTGATAAGTGGCTCAAAAATAATAAATTATGTAATTTGTTATTACCAATTTATAAAAACTTAGCCCTCTATTTAATATATTATATGCAAATGGACCTAGAAAAGAAAATAATCTATTTGAATAAATGAACTTTAAGCGTGAATATCTCTGGCTCGTATTTTCAACTCGAGAAGGATTTTTTTGAGTTGAAAATTAATTTCCCGAATCATGGGGAATAATACACTTTTTTATTTGTTTTCCTTAAGTTATGATTTTGTAACTTTGCGTAACGGTCCTGTTTTCTTTCATACCCGTACCATGTGGTTAAAACAATGCATTTTGGGCAACAAACTGATTTAAAGGCACCGACGATACGGTCTCGTTGACTTCTTACCGAACTATCTTTTAGATATTTCACAAGCTTTCGAGTTTGTCATAACCTATTATAAAATAAATGAATATCCTTGACGACAACTATTATATTTTTTTCTGGAAACCAATCACTGTTTTGTAAATTTTTCTTATACTGCAGATATGCTTACTAAGGAATTTCGTTATTCCTGGAAATTTTGCTTATTACACCGCTAGGCTATCTCAAATTCAAACTTTCTTTATTTCATAAAATTTCCAAAATTGTTTGAAATCGTTTTCCATGTAGACTCAGATAAGTCATAGATCAACACACACAAAGGCAACAATCCCTGTTTTGTCAAATAATAAGCAAATAAAGCGCACTGTGTCACTCGCATACCGTCGTGTGACTTATATTTATCCATATTGTGTAGAAGCGCGCAATGAACCAAGATTAAATAGTACTCAGATACAAGCTTATTAAGAGTATTAACGGTTTAAAGAAAAGTCAATGTGGTTCATGGAACGCTTCATTAAAAAATATAATTATAAGAAGAAAAAATACGACAAAAACGCATAAAGGCGAAACACTCTCTTTTTGAGAAAGAATTTCTATGACTTACTATATTATTTATTACGTAAATTACAGAAAACAAAAAAGTATATATCTTCCGCTATATAAAGGTGTTTTTAAACTATTCTGAAATCGGTAAAAATTTTTTCGAGTGTGTGATGGGCGAAAAATGGTCCTTATCAACCCACCTTTGTTAATACTTAACTCTTGAATATTATTTGGGATTTTATTATAAAATCGGACACATTGACCTCAAAAAGACTTGTTTATCTTTTGGAGCCTAGAGGCGGGTACTACAAGTTTATTTTTATTTCTGGTATTTATGGCATGTACATCACTCTTTTTCAAAAAGCTATCTTTGTTTTTATGAACATATATTACATTTTCATAAATATATTGACTTGCCACTGTCATTATATTTATTTCTTTAAATTTCTGCCTCAATGAACAACGATTGCCTAAATTATAAAGTGCTCGAATCGCTCTCTTTTTTGCAGCACAAAAATAGTTTGAATGTCGGCAGCATTCCCCCACAGCAGAATACCGTACGACATTATGCTATGAAAGTAACTGAAGTAAACAAGTCGTGCTGTATCAACATCAGTCAACTCTCGGATTTTTCTTACTGCGTATGCTGCTGAGCTGAGTCTACTCGACAATTTATCAATATGTGTGTCATTAGTAGACTTCAAAAATTCTAAGAATTTTGCACAAAACATCGCGGGTTATATAATTTTATGTAAAGTTTGTAAAATAGTGACCCCTTTGCTCGTCTGTCCTTCTAATGTAAAAATACATAAGCAGTCAAGTTATAACGAATTTATAAGTAGTAGAACTTATGTAATTACTAGATAAACAGTTCACCTTTGAGGTTCAACGCTGAATTTGAGAGCCATCTGGACACTGCAGAATCCATAGCAACAACCATTCACTCTAATGACTCCGACTTTCATGATACTAGGCATCAATGCACCAAGACTTAGGCATACAGCACAGAACCCTAAAAACTAAAAAGAAAACTGTGATTTTCGCCTTGATTAAATAGCAAAGGGTAAAAGCAAAAAAATCTATGCTACATTATGATGGCTATTGCTAATTTTCTTCTTCATCAACAGCCTTTACTAGTCCACTACTGGACGTAGGCCTCTCCTTAGAAATGAGGTTTTGGCCTACTATACCACGCTGGCCAGACGGGTTGGTATAGGGTTTGTTTCAAGTTTTCCTTCTCTCTGCAGTGCTATTGTCCTGCGTAGTTTGCTTCCTTAGTCGGTTCTTGCGACACCCACTAATGAATACGGGTGGTGACACTCTCTATCCGTCACCACGCGGATTTTCTTCTTAACGATTTTTATGTTCATCAACTGAGAGATATTTTTTAAACTAATGTAGTAGTGTGACTGTACCTCAAGATGTTTTTCTTTCATCCCGGAAACTTCGTTATATGCTATGTAGCCCTTAACAGCAGCTAGCGCTATTCGTTCTTCCACGGTCACCTCAATGTTCATCCTGTCCTGGTGAAATAAAAATTACTTAAATATCTAGTTAAAACAAATGGTATTTTATATGTTTTTTTTTTACCACATTGACACAACGCCATCTAGTCCCAAACTAAGCAGAGCTTGTACTACGGATACTAGACAACTGATATAAATACATACTTATATACTTTTTTTTTGCAAATACATACATATTATAACACATAGAAACGCCCAGACCAAATCGAACATTAAATGTTCATGCACACAAATGTTTGACTTGAAACCGCGCCCTTTGGAATAGCAGTCGCCATTCGGTCGTCAATGTAGATGATCTAATAACAAAATGTCACACAATCTATAAGCATGGACGTACCACTACTCGGACTAAGAAAGCTTAAATATTTTCCACCTACTTGATCAGATATTACAGTCTTCTCTTTCAGCATTTTCTCCAGTACCTCGTAAGGTATGTTGATTTGTTCCTGGATGCTGCTCATTATTGACATGAGCCTGGTGACGGTGGAAATTAGAAACAGTATATTTTGCATTGCTCGCCATACTTGCCAGAGTTTCGAGAAGAGGGGCTAGAAAGATAAAAAAACTGTCATCATCATCATCATCAACAGCCTTCAATAGTCTACTGCTGTACTAGGCTGTTCTGAGAAAGGAGGGTTTGGTCTACTATACCACGCTGGCCAGATGGGTTGGTATCGGGTTTGTTTACATTTTTCCTTCTCTTTACAGTGCTGTTTTCGGCTGTTGCGACACCCATGGGATAAATGGGGGTGAAACTCTGTATTCTTAATCTGTCGTAAAATTTATTTGAAAGGCAAATCATATAAGTTTTTTCCGTTATTGGGGGCAGGTGAGCACACGAGACACCTGCTGGTGAGTGGCAACCGTGCGCTGTTGATGGACACTTTCAAAGCAAGAGTCCACTCTCAGAATGATGAGAATGAGAGGGCTTGGGGCTCTAATTACTTCACTCACTCGGCAAAAAACAAAGAAAGAATTGCTTAGCACCGGTTTTTTGGTCAAGCCGAGTCATATGTGTCGAAATATAACTCTCCTACAGTTAGCCATGCTTCGAGAACCTCGAAATAGCAATACACTGGAGTAAAACGTGACACGTTCAAAGCTAAAGTCCGCGAATTCTACAGGAAACAGCTAGCAGAAATATCCTCATGATATCGTCACCCAAACTTTATTGTATTTATTATATTCCGTATGTATAATATATTAATAATATTAATAGTTATCTATGTATTTGTCTATCTATTTTAAATAGTATTATCAAATTAATGTTATATTTTCATAGCTTCTCTTCTTATTACATAATATATGTGCACCTGCCATGTCCCTTACTGAACCATCTTAAGGTTGACTGGTAGATAATGCCATGTGGCATTAAGTCCGCCTCGTGCAAACTGTAATGCAGGAAGTGTAAAAATAAAAATAAATAAATAAATAAAACCGTATTTTTTTTAATTGATATGAGTAGGTTTATTAATATTTATTTCATCAATCAATCATCAACAGCCTATACTAGTCCACTGCTGGACATAGGCCTCTCCTTAGAAAGGAGGTTTAATATTTATTTAGTACTCACAAAAACTGCTACTACGGGTACAGCAGCCTTATGCCTCACAGCCGAATGCAGTTCCTCCAGCACTGATTTTAATTTGTTTACGTAATCATTGGCTCTCTTCGTCATGTACTCCACATCAAACAGCAACTTGCGGGTGAACATCTCGTACTGACGATTAAAAGCCAAGAGCTCGAATACTTCGTAATAATCTCCGCTGCAACAGATCGTCAGTCACATTGTCACTTTTTAGGGCTCCAACTATCCGAGACACAAACGAGAGTGCCACAGATGTTCATGTGGCAACCGGAACCGGCGGCATACCGTGCTCTCAGAGGCACGAATGGGTCTTAATGTGTAAAAATGGTCATGCATCCATAGACTGACCTGGCCAGGATTGGCCTTAACTTTGCAATGTGTTAATACACTCGGTTACCACTTAGCCCAAGTTCAAGGCTTTTGGCAGGTTTCTTTTAAAGCCTGACGTCAACGGTCCTTGAGGATGTGAATGTTTTTAAGAGGAATAAAGGAAAAGGCAAGTTAGGGCAAAGAAAACGATCAGGGCTTGGGAGCAGGTATTTTAGTAGTTTTGGAAGGGGGAATGGGACTCAAACAGCAGAAGCTCGAAGAGGCTAAAGTCACGGAACCGACGGACATGTGATCTGTTGACTTAAAGACTACGCGTGGACATCGTATGTTCATTATTTATATGTGAATAATGTAAATAGAACATCGAAGTGTGTGATTTAAGTAATAAAGTATCATGGCGGCCGATAATTAGTCTGCGTTTTTCTTTTGCAGAAAATAGAGTTTCACTCAGGGATTTCACTCAAAAATATAAATAAATTCAAAATATCACATAATTACATACATTATTTTATATAAATAGTTAAAGCCGTTTCCAAGACACGCAAAAACTACGTTAATATTGAGGAATTCCTACGGAAGGCATTCTGTAGAGAGACTTACATAACAAACAAACCTCGTTAGCATCCATTAAGGTTTAATTTAATTCGCTACGAAATATGGGCCATAACAATATTATCTTACTTCTTAGGTGCTCGATGTAAAGGATTAGCACATTAAAGTCCCAGAGGCTTAAACTTGGTTCTTAATATACGATGAGCGTTAACTAATATCGTACCAAGCTCGTGGGACTGGACAGTCGTTTAAAGTTAGGAAATAAGACTAGTGCAGTGAATTGAATTAGAGTTTGAAAAAAGGTCGTGTTAAATTAATACGAAAAATGCCAGTACTTCGGCGGCTCAAACATGCAATGTTACTAGATGGCAACAAGTGGCTCCTAACTCTTTTTTCTAACGATTTTTTGCAACAGATCACATGTCTGTCGTTAGCTCGAGACTCCCAAAAGGCTAACATTGTCTTTTTCATGGTGTTGCCGTGTGAAAAATACTTTTGTGTCCGTTTAAAAAGTTATAATATATAATAGAAGTATCTAATATTCTTATAGACTTACACAGTGACCTCAGAATTTTCCCCAACATGCACCATAGTGTTTCCAGTCTCGTCCTGTATCTCTATGCAGTCTTGTATCGCCGTTGTGAGGGTATTCACCCTCTGCATTATTGTTATGAGACTAGTAGACAGTGACGTCAGGCATGCTTTACCAGCATCTACTAGATTGAAAGGCACTGAAATAAAAACAAGTTATGAGTATAAATGTATCGCAGGAGAGCCATGCTTTGGCATAAATCGTTCAGCTTGCTACGGCACGGAAAACCGGTGTTAGGTAACCAATTGACTGCACGGATGGCGTACTGGTTTAGGCGGTCGCCACGTCGCTTCCAACTGCGCTGAGTATTGTGGGTTCATGGGACACCACTTCGTGTGATCTACAAATTGTTGTTCTGGGTCTGGATGTTCATATATGTTTGTTAAGTTCCCCGCGACACAGGTTATACATTCCAGTGAGAGGCGCGGCAGGACGCTCTGCCCCAGGGTGACTACGATCACTCCGGGATGTGCCTCAGACATGAGGTACGGCAGGGAGGACGCCAGATGTCGCCGATGCGTTCCTGGAGCTCCTCCCGACGGGCCGCCGCGGGGTTGAGTGGGTAGACCGGTTCTCCAGGGCTCCCACATACGCCCTACGTTTCCCCAACGGAGGGTATGGTGCGAAAAGCATTCCCCGCGTGAAAAAAAAAAAAAGAAAAAAAGGTTATACATTCCAAATGCTGGATTTGTCTAAAAAAATACTGTCGTTGTTTTTCACCGAGTGAGTAAGGATACCAGAGCTCCACACAGGGGGGAGAGGGATTGCTTTGGTAATCCCTGGGGGGTTTTGAAAGGGTGACAACGCACTTGTGTCTTTTCAGCTCTTCAGGTGTCCATGGGTGCTGGTAGTCTCTTACGGTCAGGTGACCCATCTGCTCCTTTACCACTATCCCATAATTAGAAAAAGAAACAGTAGCACTCTGAGAGTGCCGTCAGCAGTAAACACTTATATACTTATATACAGAGGAGTCGGTAACGGTAATTTCCCATTTAAAAAAATACCCAACGCATCTAAAGGTTTTCACTTCAAAAATAACCTGCAGAAAAACCTTATTATTTTATCTTCTGGTGAGACCTTCCATCATTGTATTATTTATCTGCTAAAATACTAATTAGACGACGTTAGGAACATCGTCATGATCGACACGAGAATGTTTAAGCCGTTAGTAAAATTTCACAAGGCCAATTGGAAAAATAACCTAATATAGTTTTCAATAACAGAAGAGGAAAAGACAAAAACTCACGATCAGGAATCCCTTCACCACCTTTCTTACAGTCTCTATTGAATAGCCTGACTCCAGACACGATCTCCAGTAGGTCTTGGAGTTGTTCCATTTTCTCCACCCTGGGTAACGCCACGAACACTTTCAGCTCGTCCATTGAAAAAACACTTTCTAAAGCGGCCATTCCTTCTTTTAGAGTCTAGAATAAAAATGTGACATTTGACTCAAAGCTTTATTTCTTTTTGTATGTAATAGGGAATATGCACGCGACACCAAAATGGACAAAATATTTTTATTTGTAATTTTAATTGCTAAAAAAAGATACCCATACCATTATTTTTGAAATTTATTATAATTTAATAGTGAAATTTAATCATCAAAAATTGGCTTTTTTAAAATTCCCTCGCAAATTCTAAAACGCAACGCTATTGGTTGAATAAAACGTGACGTCAACCTACACTGTCAAGAGTGTCAACAAGTTGTGTGTATTTGTAATATTTGGTTTCTGGTGATTATTTGTTTCATTTTATATAAGTTAACTATAAACTATATAATAACTAATACGTGTTCAGTGTTAAATTATTAAATTCCCGTGTAGAAAGACTCAACACAATGACTGAATATACTTTGTCAGGTGCAGTTTTGATATTATTTGGGCACAAAGGAACGGCACAATATTTATAATAAGTTTTTATTGGCTTTTCCATGGTAATAAGTTAATTTTTATCACTCACTTCTTTAACTTTCACAAACTTTGTGAACTTTACTACGTTGTTGACATCGAATACGTCTAAAAGTGTAATCTGACGTCACAAAAAAACGCTCCAAAATGGACGTGTTCAAATTGCCCCAAAATGATAGTGATTTTAATAATATTTTTTTTGCCTAACGGTTTATATTTCGGATGTGTTATATTTATTTTTGGTAATGTAATCACTAGTAGACTCGTTTAAAAAAAATAAAAAAATAAAAAAAATACATGCATATTCCCTATTAATAGTTAAGTACTTTTTGTATGTAGTCTGTGTGGTGACGGATTAAGAATACGGAATGTCACCATTTATCCCATTCCCATTCACCCTATTTATCCCGTGGGTGTCGTAAGAGCCGACTAAGGGAGCAAATTCAGCAGGACAACAGCACTGCAAAGAGAAGGAAAACTTAAAACAAACCCTTTTTTTTTTTTTTTTTTAACGTGTGGAAATCCCCTCGGACCGTCACCCCTCCGGGGTTTGCGGCGGGGTGGTGTGTCGGACTCGGACCGACTAAAACCACACGGTGTGCCACTCTGCGCCTGTAACAGGAGGGATCCGGGAACAGCTGTTACCCGTCTGGGTAGCGTGGTATAGTAGCCCAAAACCTCCTTTCTAAGGAGAAGCCTATATCCAGCAGTTGACTGTTATAGGCTGTTAATGTTATTGATGATGTAATTAATTGATGTCCTTAAGCGGCGATAGCCACTTACCATTAACTGACTCGTATGCTTTTTTGCCCCTTATACAATAAAAGAAACGTGACTGCGCGCTTACCACAATAAACCCAGGGTTTCCCAGTCCACTTTTAAGTATAATATAAATGGAAATCTTTCTGAACAGTTTTTTGAATTCCTCCTCATCATTCGGATTTGGGTCCACGTCCAAGATCTCGTTGACCAACGGCCGAAGACATTTGTGGATGGAGTCCTCATGCTTTTCAATGAGAATGTCTAGTTTGTCATAGTTAGTTTGGAGGATGAATTGAATTTTCAGTGTGTTTAGTGATGTACCTCCACCTGGAATAACATAGGAGAGTACTACATACCTACTGAGTTACATTTTAGTTCACAGTTACGAGACCTAGTGACGGGTACATAGCGTGATAGATGGAGGCTACACATGCGATCACATCATGGGACGGGCCTGTTGGTCTAGTGGTTAGTGACCCTGACTGCTAAACCGGAGGTCGTGGGTTCGATTCCCACCCAGGACAAATATTTGTGTGATGAGCACTATCGTCTGTTCTGTATCATATGTATTTATAAATATATAAGTATGTTTATCAGCGGTCTGGTTAACATAGTACAGGCTCTGCCTAGTTTGGGATCAGACAGCCGTGTGGGAGATGTGTGAGACATTTTTATTATGGGTATAAGAAAATAATAATAGGTAATAACGTTCACGCATGACAGTCAGATCCCAAACTAAGTAAAACCTGAACTATGATAACCAAAGTTAACCAAACATTTCTAAATACACACATATCAGGTATAGATAAATTACACCCAGACATAGACCAAATGATAGTGCTCATCACACAATCATTTGTCCTGAATCGAACCCATCACTTTTATTTTATGGAATAGGGAGCAAACGAGCAGACGGGTCACCTGATGCCGCCGCCCATGAACGCCTGCAACTCGATGTCACAAGCGCGATGCCAGCCTTGAGGAAAGAGGACGCTCTTTTCTTGAAGGTTTGAAGGTCGTATCGGTCCGGATATACTAACTTTCGGTTTAGCAGTCAGTGTTACTACCACTACACCAACATCATCAACAGCCTTTAACAGTCCACTGCTGGACATAGGCCTGTCCTTAGAAAGGAGGTTTTGGCCTACTATACCACGCTGGCCAGACGGGTTGGTATAGGGTTTGTGTCAAGTTTTCCTTCTCTCTGCAGTGCTGTTGTCCTGCGTATTTCGCTCCCTTAGTCGCCTCTTACGACACCCACGGGATGAATAGGGGTGGTGACACTCTGTATTCTTAATCCGTCACCACACGGACACTACACCAACAGGCCAGTAAAAAAAAGTTGAATGTGTTTGTTACAGAGTAAAGTGTATGTTAATAAAGTTATAATTTCTTTTTAAACTTCTTCATAATTTAACGTCTGTCTGTTCTAGATATTGTAAATTATTTAATCAAAATAAAATATCATCATCATCAACAGCTAGTCCAGTTTAACAGTCCACTACTAGACATATGCGTCTCCTTAGAAAGGAGGTTTTGGTCTACTATACCACGCTGGCCAGACGGGTTGGTATAGTTTGTTTTAAATTTTCTTTCTCTTTGCAGTGTAGCGCAGTTTGCTCCCTTACTCAGCTCGAATATATATTTTTTATTTAATTCTTTATGTACAGTCAAATAAATACTTACGGATTACCATATTAACACACTCCTCTACAAAATACGCCAAATTATTTCTATTGATAGTCGTGGCAAACAATTTCCCATACTTAGGGTTTAGGAGGAGCAGGTCTATTATATAAGTCACAAATTCTGGATCAACTGTCACATTATGTGCCTGGCAATTCCTTGTGACTTCATTTGCCATATTTTTAACAACATTCTCGTTGCACGCCATGGTGAAACGTATTAAATAAAACTATTTATCAAATTATTATAAACGAGCCGTCTCAAAAATGATTTATCGATGTTGTCATGGCAACACAATGTTATTAATAAGTATTGGGTAGTTAGGTAAAACCACAGAGTACAGTAATATTATTAGAGGTAAAACTCTTTCGGATAAATGTAAATATTACGCAAAACTGACACACAACGCCATCTAGTTTCAAACTAAGCACAGCTTGTACTATGAAAGTTAGCTTGACTGATAGAATACTTACCTACTTTCTTTGTAAAAACATACATATTGTACATAGAAAACCCGCAAATTCTGAAAAAAAATGTGGAGATTATACAAACATTTGGTCGGACCCGGGAATCGAACCCGAGACCTCAGCAAAGCAGTCGCATACGATACCACTGCATCACCGAGGCAATCATAGACATCACTAACATATACGCTCATTACACAATTATTTGTTCTGGGTGTGAATCGAACTCACGACATCGGGCTTGGCAGGTACGGTCCACTAACCACTAGACTAACAGGCCCGTTAACAAATAATAAATATTAATAGGCTTTATACTAATGCACAACCGTGTCACTATCATTAAACAGTTTTAATTTGAGAGAGAGAGGGAGAGAGAGGAGAAAAAAAGGGGGGAGAGCTATGCTTCGGCACGTATGGGCAAGCTCTACCGAAGTGATGTGATATCTCCTCACAGAAAACCGATTTAAGGCAATGCTTTCGTTGCTTCTCACCGAGGGAGGGTTAACCGGAGCCTTAACCTCCCTGCCCATGATTCAAGGGGGTGTTACTCAAGGACCAACAACGCACTTGTGACAGTTGAGTTACAGGTGTCCATGGGCAGCGGTAGTCACTTACCATCAGGTGACCCGTCTGCTCGTTTGTAGAACATACATATCATAAAAAGAAAATTTGCTGAATAAAGTAAGGAATATATTATTATGAGAAAAAAAACCACTATATTGTTTTCATAATTTATTACTTTCATTGTCCGTCTCTCACCAGGATTGTTCAGTCACATCGCAAACTTAAATCGAAGGTCAGGCCTCGAACATAAGAGGCATAACAGTCGACTTACATTGACATAGCTTTAAAATCCTTAACAAAAAATTAATAACATAATTTCACTTAAATATATATTTTAATCGACTTAGGAGCAAATTAATTACGTAAGGATGATTGACCCCCCCTCCATGGGGGTCTATGTAAGGATACATAAGATTTCTAGAACTCCCCTCCCTCTTCTTACGTAAGATTCAATTTCGTTTTTCTGAATAATAAAATGTTGTTAGAAAAGGATCAGTTACACTAAAACTCAGTTTGACGTAAATCAAAGAGTTTAACTATTTGGCAGGTAATTTAGGTTATAAAATATATATGAGTTTGAATGAAATAATATGCTGTAGACCGCAATTATTGAATAAAAAAAATCTAATCATTCAACGCTATTGTTGCTTGAAAATAAAATAATCATTTTAATTTTCCAAATGATTAAAATAAAATTAATACGCGGAAAGAATTCACAATAATGTAATTACTATTTATGACATTTAAAATGGAAATGAACATATTTAAGATTAAAAAAAACAATAAGAATTTGGGAAATAAGATGTAAATTGAAGTGCAAATTATGGAATTAAGAAATTCACTCAGCATCCGAAATAGAAATACATTTTTAATGATAAATTTCGACTCGTAAAATATTACATAAGAATGGGTTTTACCTCTCCCAGAAAATCAGTACATGCCCATGGGGGGGGGGGGGGTCAAGATAAGGGCATGTACAGATTTTCTTAACCCAAGGGGACCCTTACATAATTAATGAATGGCCCCTTATATATTAAAGTTACGACTTAAATTTATAATGAAACAAACGTCTATCACACAGATGGTCATCGCATATTATAGTCAATTCGTAACGTCTTATGACTCAATACAAAAATTAAATAGCTATGCTATATACTTAAGATAATTGTAATCTTAACGAATTTGACAGTATTATAATCAAACTAAGCTTTTATGGGATCGAAATTTTGAAAATTTTATAACAAATTTTTGGCTTCGTTTTTGATTGTGGTCATATTTGTGAATCATTTTTGCCAGGATATTCTAGACTTCTTATGTCTTTTATCATCGAATCGTTCGGAATCGAATAAGGAATATGTGTGCTGATAGATCGCTAAAAATTAGCTATAGCAGAGCTACCGGTACCTTACAATAATGTGTGTACAGATACAGAGAAGATTACACAAAATTAAGCAGTTTTTTTTTAGAAACAATGTGCTTTAAAAGTATTTTTAAATTGGCAACACCATTGACAAAGAATGGGACCATTTTTTTCATAGGTAGAAATCTATAGTGTCCCTTAGTCTAATATTTACAAAATCTATATTAAAAACTGAAAATTCGTGTCAATATTAACAAGTAGAAAAATATTAAGGTAAATAGTAGATTCCACATTTTTCTACATAACGAATTCAAAGGTGATACCTCATTTGTGCGCACTTATAAATTTTCAGAAGCATCAAATAATATTTAAGAAATATGGTATAATACACGCTTTTTGTTTACTATTTTTAAACTAAAATAATAAGTATATGTGTCATGGGCCAAGTTCAAAAGGCCTACCCAGACCCTACACTACTCGCATAGGTTTCTTTAACTTTGTTTACGGTTTTAAAAAAAAGACACCTCTGTGGTTTTACAGAGTGAGTACTTGTAATATATAATACTAGCTGACCCGCGCAACTTCGTCTGCGTTCTCAATAGTAATAAATTTTCTCCGTTTTCAAAACATTCTTCATTGGTGCTCTGCTCCTATTGGTCTTAGCGTGATGATATATAGCCTATAGCCTTCCTCGATAAATGGGCTATCTAACACTGAAAGAATTTTTCAAATCGGACCAGTAGTTCCTGAGATTAGCGCGTTCAAACAAACAAACAAACAAACAAACAAACAAACTCTTCAGCTTTATAATATTAGTATAGATTTGAAAAGATTTACTTACAGAAATAAATATCGATTCATCATCAATCATCATCAACAGCCTTTAATAGTCCACTGCTGGACATAAGCCTCTCCTTAGAAAGGAGGTTTTGGCCTACTATACCACGCTGGCCAGACGGGTTGGTATAGGGTTTGTGTCAAGTTTTCCTTCTGTCTGCAGTGCTGTTGTTCTGCGTAGTTTTTTTCCCTTAGTCGGCTCTTACGACACCCACGGGATGAATAGGGGTGGTGACACTCTGTATTCTTAATCCGTCACGTCGATTATCATTACGAATAAAAAAGGAAAATTTAATTTTAAACTTACTAAATGTTTTACACAAAAATCTGATATCACAAATGAAATCGTATTTACGAGGTGTCACATTTAGTTCGACAATAGGTTAATTGTTGACAAAATATTAATCTAGTTACTTAAATAACTATAAAAGTAAAGTAAGTATAAGTTTCTTATATTTAGATAGACTTAGTAGCCAAGGTTGCAATATCTCTAGTAAATCAGGAAAAAATATCCAAAACAAATCTTCGTAATACTTTTTTTGTTTAAAGGTCTACTAGCAACCGAAATTATTGGTATTCCCGTTAACCCCTCCCGCTAAGCTAAATTGCTTGTGTTAAGAGTGGGGTCACGTCGGTAGTGTACTGGTGTTCGAACCCAAGACCTCTTGATCACAAGTTCAATGCCTTAACCACTAGGCTACCGCCGCTTAACTTAACTTTTGACAAATAGAAAAAAAAAAACAAGTGAGCCTTCCATTAGTTTCATATAATAATAATGTCACACATCTCACACACGGCCTGCTGATCCCAAACTAGGCAGATCCCAAGCTAGGGTGTTTATCAGGAGTCTGGTTACCACAGTACAGGCACGGTACAATTATAATACAGTAGCGTAACTCGGCCGCCTGATAGAAATAAATGCCTACAGCCGCGCGGTACGTAAACATGCGTTAGGGCTGCCCGTCTCCAGCATTTTAATTATATTTGCCTACTTTCTGTTTCTATTTAGATTTGTGATTGTAAATATCCTTTTATATAAATAAATGAAATACTTTGTATATTGAATAGGAAGTGTTCAATAAAAATGCGTGTTGTTTTTTGATTGGTAGATTTAATTATTTTATTATCTTTCTGCTTTGGAGGAGTTCAAGTTTCAATTTTCTTTTTCTTGGAGTGTTGCTAGAGAGACTCGTTGAGGTTTGAGCAAAGATTTCATTTGTTGCATTTTCAGTCTGTGTACTATTTTCATTTCCTACCAACGGAGCATTTTGGGTTTGTTTATCTTCTTTTAGAGAGACTCCTGGATCGGTACTAGCTAAGCTTGGCAGCATCAACAATGGTAGGGCATTCTTTTTTAAAAGTTTTCTATTTGATGAATGTAATACATTCTCCAAATTAAAATGTTTTTCACAAACTTGGTATGAACTAGTTAGGTTTGTTTTCCAAATCATCTCGCCGGATCAGTTGCAACCATTGAAGACGTCTGAAAAAAAATACATGTGGCACTCTGTTTATTTTTTAAAAGAAAAAAATCTGCGTGGTGTCAGGTATTTTTCGTTAGGTTTTGAGAATTTCTTGATTCGGTCAGCCCGCGAAAAGCTATGCAATAGCTTAAAAATCCTTCTATAGAAAAAAAGATGTGCTTTCTCCTTACGCGTTACAAAACTCCAATCCTTAGAAACTCCAACACCTACCTACTCAACTAGAATGCAAGAAAGAGCTGACGAGTAAGTAACTTTTTATCTCAGCTTATTAACGTCTCTAAAAATTAGGTACCTACCTATAACTCGCAACAACTCAAAACAAAAATTCTTTGGTCACCAATTAATTATTTTTTAAAAACATGAACAGCAGCTAACTACGAATGTTTTAAAATCACAACCCTCAAACATCTAAATATTATATATGAGTCTAGCTGTTGTTGTTAATAGGGAGAAAATGAAACCAGTTTTTAGTGGTATATGTTGTTATAGTAGCAGCAGAAAGACTTTGTGAAAATTTCGAAAACTATCTAATGACACACAGACGGTAAAAAAAAATTTCTAATATTATTCATACACACAGATAATAAACAAATATTATTAATAATAAAATACCACGTCTTTACTTTGAATTATGCAAAGTAACAAAACACACATGCACCGAAGTTTTAACACAAGCGTAACTAGGTAGGTACCTACCGCATCATGATTCATTCAGAACCGCATATAACTACCTATTTCACTCGTCTCAATAACTTTCCGTTACTCTATTCGCTTTATTTGTTAATCCAAACACCTTTTATTTCGTGAGATAAAAGGAAATACTTATCCATTAAAAACCACACATTATGTACCTACCTACTAGTAAGTAAAATTATTTTATAGTCTTACCTTTTAGAGTTTCCAGGTTATTTAAAAAACCTTATGTCTGGATACGTTATTGACGAATTCATACAACCAAAAACAGCACAATATTTCCTACTCGTCATATTAACTGATTTTTAGAGAAAAAATCACACGGTTATTGTTAAAAAAACAACACCGTCCGTTCAACACTGCGGTACAGCCGTGACTGTCTGCACCCCGAGCGCACCCCGAGATCGAGGCGCGTAGGTATAGCTCGCGTTTCGTCCGTTTGTATGAAGTTGGAGTACTGTTTTATAATTGTACCGTGGTACAGGCTTACTATGGTAACCAGACTTCTGATAAACACACTTATATATTTCTAAATACATACATATTATAGATAAATTACACCCAAACAAAAAACAAATTATATGTAACATAATTATGACGATGTCTTTCATGTGGCCAACCCTAAACCATACGCTGATTGGTCATATCAAATAGCGTGCCACACCGTCTCTCTGTTACACATTTTCGTCCCTTTTCACAAAATCACTCTCACAGATTTGAGGAAAGCGAGAGGAAGCGTGTTACACTTAAAAAAATGTTTTATCACAACTAGTTGCCAAGAAAAAAACATTTTTACAAATGGATTCGAAATTTACTTGCCAGAGTGGGCAAAAGTATTTTAGCAAATGTATGATTGCCGACTTCAATAAGTTTAATAGAAGGTATATATTATACGAAATGATGATTAAATTTTAATTAGTTAATTGTTTTAAACATTATAATAGTAATTTAATCCAAACAGTAACACAACTAAACATAACATAGTTGTCTGTGGCTCATTTAGGTTGCATAGTGTTCACAACTTGTGTTCACCTCAAAACAAGACCTACTGCCAAAATTAAAATTCTAGTGCATTTTTAAATAGTTGATATCAGTTCTAATGACTCATCAGTGTCCTTTAGTGTTTACTACAAATCACTGAAGATGTTATTTAATTACAATTGGTTAGTTCTGACTGCACAAATAATATGGTCTGAGAGGAAAGACCAAAGAGGGCACAACCCCTCCCGTACAATCAATAATCAGCCTATCCAAGGTAAATAACCTGCCATCGATAAATGTGACCTTATTATTAATTTTAACTTTGACTTGAAGATATTAATTATTAAGTTGAAAATGGAGGACAATTCATGCTGTACTTTAAGATTTTACATTTAATGACACTGACAATTTGATCCTTAAATTAATTGATGACTATTTTAATCATCAATGAAATGATTTTTCAAATACTTCATCATACCGAATGTATAGAACCTCTGGGTACCGATGACTTTGTACAAAGGTTTGTCACATATGGCAAACTGCCTGTTGTTAGGGTCTGTGAGCTGTCGTTCCTTGATGATGGCCCATACGCGCTTGACGACCTCGTGCCTGGGAAGTTCTGTTGCTCCAACAAGTTCAGACAGGGCTTGTGATAGCTTGATGGGTCTTGTGTATCCACTGCCTTTGCCACCACCTTTTTTGACGCCCCCCTGTAAATCAAGATAAATAAATTACAATTTAAATTTTATTATAGTTTTCAAATCCGTGATGGAATTAAGAATATGGAGTGTAACCACCCCTATTCATCCCGTAGGTGTTGTAAGAGCCTACTATAATTGTGCATTGTGTGTGTTTGTGATATTTGATATCAACGATATATCCTGGGAGAGTCATACTTCGGCACAAATGATGATACTAGGGCCTCAAAGGGAACCAGTGTTAAGTAATTCTTTCGTTGCCTATCACCTAGTGAGTAAGATTAACGGAGGGCCAACTCCTCCCCTTCCTACATCTGGAAGGGGAGGCAGTCTAGAGACAACGTACTTATGACCCTTGAGTTGCAGGCGTCCTAGGGGACGGCAGTTACTTACCATAAAAAAACTGTAAATACTAGTACTAGTATTACTTTCCGGATCCGTTATCGGAGCCTCAACCCTCACTACCCCTGCTTATGGGTAGTTATGACTCGTGTTGCAGGTGTCCATGGGCGACGGTAGTCACCATCAGATGACCTGTCTGCTCATTCGCCCCTTATAACCATAGAAATAAAAAAGGGATTACCTTCTTGCCTTTAGCAGGAGTTTTCTTTTTCTTATCATCACTTCTTCTTCCTCTCCGTGTAGTTGTCTAAAACAAATTCATAAAGGAAATATTTATAAAACTGAGTTTTTTCGGTTACATTATGTGTGCTCGAGGCTAAGTATTCACCGAGCAGGGTAACACATTGCAAAGTAAAACAATCCTAGCCAGGTCAGTCTATGGATGGGTGACCATTTCTTATCACGTTGAGACTCGGTTGCCATACGAACATCTGTGGTAATGGTTACGGGTAGTTGGAGCAATATAAAGTCCTACAACAGTCTTTCTACAGAACTTCGATATCGGTCTGATGGCAATTCCGGTTCAGAAACCGAAGTTCAGCCGTATCGTAAGTAGACTTAAAACGGCCCAGTACCTAGTTTGGGAAAAAGGCTCTTAGGTTACATCATCATCATCAACAGCCTTTAATAGTCCACAGCTGGACATAGGCCTCTCCTTAGTAAGGAGGTTTTGGCCTACTATACCACGCTGGCCAGACGGGTTGGTATAGGGATTGTGTCAAGTTTTCCTTCTTTTTGCAGTGCCCTTTGGTGTCCTGCGTTGTTTTTCGCCCTTAGTCGGCTCTTACGACACCCACGGGATGAATTGGGGTAGTGACATTCCGTATTCTTAATCCGTCACTACACGGAAATTACAGGTTAGGTTACATATCATGTGGTTATAAGTTCTTAGTACTAAAATGATGAAGGGTGGTAATGCTTCTAAATAAATTATCACATTCCTATAGACGTTTGGGAGTATTTAGTAGTGCTTGCGTCCCTCTAAGGGAGGCCGCGGGAGTGATACCACAGCCTCACAGAAAACTCAGTTGAGAGAATTGCGTAATTCTCTCAAGTGAGATTGACGGAGGGATTAACTTATATCTTGAAGGGGAGGGGGTCTAGAGACAACGTATTTGTGACTACTAATCTCTCGAACACGCCCACCACTGTAACTCCTGTACACCAGGATGAACAGCAGTGACCCATGAACACACTTGTCACACAAAACTGTCTTGGAACCCGCAACTAAATTAATCAGAAGAAAATTGGAGGAGTTGGAAATACAGTAAATCCACTTCCCTCCTTAGCAAAGCGGGAGACAAAATGAGGTAAAATAGGCATACACCCTTTTAAACAGCAAAGCACCACACGGCCACTAAATATTATGGGTCCTAAGTGAGCTATATTTGATTTCTAAAATATGTATGGCAGAATCGCCTAAACGCACGGAAATTCACCCTAGTTGACACAAGATCCCAATAATATACCGCCCCAGATGTCACCTGCAAGTTATTCAGCATTGTATTACTTTCGTTATACCAAAGACCACGTTCCCCGAGGATATGATGAGCAGATTGTTCACAGTTAGAGTTAGGTATTGAGCATTGACACTGGTGACTCGACTAATTTAAAGGAATACAGTTTGCTCTTAAAGTTACCATGACCTGTAAGAAATTGAGCGATACAGTACTTGTGACTAGGTATAGGATAAAATCACAAGCACATGTGAAGAATCATATGATTTAAAAATCATTTCATATTTCCTGTGACACCTACATCACTGTGACTTATTATTTACTAAGCTAACCTAACCATAAAAAAAAAACTAAATAATCTATAACATCATCAGCCTTTAGTAGTCCACTGCTGGTTTCGGTCTACTATGCCACGCTGGCCAGACGGGTTGTTTCAAATTTTCTACCCCTTCGCAGTGCTGTTGTTCTGCGTAGTTTGGTCTCTCAGTAGGCTTTTACGACACCCTTGGGATGAACAGGGGTGGTGACACTCTGTATTCTTAATCCGTCACCACACGGATAAAATAATCTATATTGAACTTTATTTGCAAGTACAAATAGTTGAGTACTGCTTGCGACGCATTTCTATCTCTGTTTTGCTTACGTAATGATATTTTTTTTGTAGATAGGTACGTATAAAAATGAATTTTAGTTCATAAAATACGTATGTCGCAGTAAGCTAAGTAGGTCCCAAGGTTATTATGCAATATTGAAATCGAGACATTTGCAAAAGCAGGCGCACACGAGTTACTTTTCCACTTAAACAATTTTTTTACGCTCGTTTTGTATATCTATCCATGTATGTATATGTATATATATGTGTATATATTTATGAATGATATATATATATATATATATATATATGACGATACGACGTGGACAACCTATCATAATTTTGGCCAGCCAACCCGCTAGGTTTCAATGGACGTACGCGCACTGATGACAGAGTCAAAATAGGCTTGTGTTCACTCTTAACAAATTGCTTGGTTTATAGTTTCAAATTATAAATGAAGAGACATAGATAAAACATCATTGTTGTTGTTAAAGTTGTCATACAACGGAGCAGGCATCAACATCTTCCCATATCGAAACTGTCCACGGGCACAATATAACGTCCTCAAAAAGAAAAGAGATTTGCCCTTTTGTCCATTTTAAAAAACAAAAGATTAAACGAGAGAGAATTGGTCGAGACAAGAAACAGTAGAAGTCTAGCTCAAATTGTATCTTCTATACACGGTGATTTTGAAAGCGTTTTGGAAAAGAAAATTTTGAATTATTTATCAGTAACAGAAGCTATATATAACGTTAATTTAATAAAATATATATTTTTTTTATCATCAAAGTCGATATTCATATCGTTTACAGAGAAAAAGTCAGAACCAGTAGTAGTAGGCTATTCAATCACACGTAGGTAAATACTACGAATAGAAATACTATGCGTTTTAATATCGAGTCACATCAAATCGTATTCGCCAATAAAAACAAAGCTACCGAGTTGCGCCGGAGTCGTCCAACCAATGACGTCTGCCCCGTAGGCGCATGCGCGGGGCTCACCTGTCATCGTCAGTCGGTCAGTAATACCATAACATCGTGACGGCACGCTGCATTGATTAGCGCTAAAATGAGTTGACAGTACGAATTTTCAAACGTGGAATACTTCTTGGCAATGGTACAGCTGTACGCTACTGCCAACTACAACTTGGAAGAGGCTCGGCGTTTGTATTCCCACCCGGAGCATTTAAATGCACTACGGCTACGTGGAATTGAAAGCCCTCAAATTCCCTCCACACCTACCATCTTGGCTGCAACCCAACGTCTTCTCGACCACGGACAATTTCGTGCGCCTACTCATGCGCAAGGTCAAGGACGTTTTAATTATTATTCGCCGGAGTGTAGTGCGTGCATACCTGGACAATGAGCTTAGTGATCGGTGGATAGGTCGAGGAGGGCCAGTGCCTTGGCCACCTAGAGAAGCCCGGACTTAACGCCCCTGGATTTTTTCTTATGGTCGGAAATAAAAAGACTTGTTAATACACGGGAATATGAAAGCCGTGATAATTTACGCATTGCGATAGTGGACGCTTTTGATAAAGTGAAAAGTGATAGAGACACATTAAGAAAATTAAAAAACAATTGCATTAAACGTGGACGTTTGTGTATTGAATGCAGCGGACTCCATTTTGAGCAGTTCCTTCGATACAGAGAACTGTAAATAGTGTAAATAGGTATGTAAGTTAATTATTCTGTAGATAGCTCCGATTTTTTAAATACGCCTGAAATATTTATACCTACAGTCCGTTGATAAATTGATTTGTTGTGAAAAGAACAATCGTGGTTAATAATCGAAAATAAGTTTAAATAAAATAGGTATTTCTGACGGTCCTAAGCCCGTGTAAAGTATGAAGGACAAATTGGAGTCTATCTACGTAAGTACTCGCTAGCTCGCGCCTATAGGTATAGTTTTGTCAGCTGCTGTTAGCGTCGGCGGTGCGCAGCGGCCGCCGAAACGCCCACGGACGTGTTTCATTCATATAAGATAATGAATGAACGATCAGTCCATTACTACTTTCCAAGTCGATCGAGTAAAAATTAATATTAAAACTGAAACTTTTTTTTAGACAACATTACAATTGATTTAATCATTTTTATTGGTACTATAGATGATTCCAAATTCAAATATTTCGTTTCCAAAACGCTTTCAAAATCACCGTGTATATATAAAAGAAAGTCGTGTTAGTTACACTATTTATAACTCAAGAACGGCTTTACCGATATGGCTGAAAATTGGTGAGGAGGTAGCTTAGAGCCAGGAGACGGACATAGGATACTATTTATTCCGTATTTTTTTTTTTTTGTATCGGTGTCGGTCACCAGATGACAACGGTGGAACTGTCACAACAAAAGTGAAAAGAATAGATTTCGTTGTCGACAACAGTTGGATTGTTCCATATTCGCCACTTATTTCTAAAACGTTTAAGACACATTGCAACGTTGAGTATTGGTCGGAAGACGATCTGCGTTGTTTGTTTTTGCGCCTGATAAGAAAACAAAAAATGTCGTGTATCACAAGGTACTTAAGTGAAGAGCAACCTATGTACTGAAATGCAGAAACAATAATAAATGATTAATGTACTTCATTTTTTTTCTAAGAAACAAATTAACTTACTAAATTCGAAAATCGGCTTATTTATTGCCTTTAAGGCTGAACAGAGTTCGCCGGGTCAGCTAGTATTTCAATATAATTGTATACTCTACTAATAACATAACTCATCATAACGTTACTTGTCTTCTCCGTGGTTGTCACATTCATCTAAAAATATGTCGACAAATGACGCATGGATTACTAAAAATGTTTAGTGACTGTCGCTCGGCGCTAGTGCACCCTACTTTGATCACGTGACGTGATCAGAAACGTTTTGTCACGGTAACGAAAGTCACCCGTGCGCGATAGCTCTTACTCAAGTAGGTATTTACTAAGTTAATTTGATACATATCCAAATGGATTAGAGTTGCAAATCCTGTGATTTGACATAAATACAGTCATTTTTAACTCGGGAACTACTGGTCCGATTTGAAAAATTCTTTCAGTGTTAGATAGCCCATTTATCGAGGAAGGCTATAGGCTATATATCATCACGCTAAGACCAATAGGAGCGGAGCACCCATGAAGAATGTTTCAAAAACTGAGAAAATTTATTACTATTGAGAGACGCAGACGAAGTTGCGCGGGTCAGCTAGTATACAATATTTATGATTCAGTGTACGCAGGCGGAACGTCCGTGTGGTGACAGATTAAGAATACGAAGTGTCACCACCACCCCTATTCATCCCGTAGGTGTCGTAAGAGCCGACTAAGGAAGCAAACTACGCAGAACAACAGTACTGCAAAGTGAAGGAAAACTTGAAACAAACCTTATACCAACCCGTATGGCCAGCGTAGTATAGTAGGCCAAAACCTCCTTTCTAAGGAGAGGCCTATGTCCAGCGGTGGACTATTATAGGCTGTTGATGAGGCGAAAAATAGTACCACTCAAATACGGATAAATGGTGGCTTATAAACGAAAAAAATATAATAAATTTCATTGTACACCAGTTTAGTACACCATACATACACTAGTACAGAAAATTAATAACTATGCACAAATGGTGGCCTTATCTCTAAAAAGCCATTTCTTACAGGCAACCTTTGGATTGAAAATCGACCGTGTAGAGAGACGCCTTCATGAGTAGTTTTGATGGGAAATAATGTAAAAGAACCATTAAATATTCGTATCGCAAAACAGCATTTGATTTTATCGAAAAAATATATACCAATGTAATAACTCGGACAATATACAGAGATGCTATTTTTGGACGCACGGCAATAAAACGAGTTATGATTTAAAATGGAACAAAAGTATATCGCGATTCAGTACGGAATACCAATCTGTGTATTTAAAAACTTAGTAATGAATGATTTTATCTCCAAATAAGGCATGTCAAAAAACTACAAGTAATGGTACTTACGCCGGTATCCTCAACCTTTTCCTTCTTTATTCGGGGTTTCTTTTCCTCCTCCTCTTCTTCTTCTTCCTCTTCTTTTTCTGACTCCTTTTCTTCTTCTTCTTCAGAATCAGAAGAATCCAGACTGTTTACATAGTCCAACACTAGTCTGTCAATCATCTTCTTCTTCTCCGTCAAACTTACTCCGAACTTTTTCTCCAACTTCTGTATGACTTTATTAGTGGAAGTTGTTTGGAGATCTGCATTTTCAAGGATCTCTGTATGTTTTAAAGAATGTAATTATTAATTAGATCGACAGTTCTGTTTTAAAAAAAAAAAACCGCCTGATACCAGTCAGGTAGGGTTTTAACGAAATTGCTCCCGGGGGGGAGCAATTTCGTAATTCCCCTTATAATTTTATTTATAAGGGGTTATAACCGATCTCGTTAAGCCGTTTTGGCTTAATAGAGTATCAAGCTACCATTTTAATTTTCGAGTGCATCCTAGTAAACGGCTTACGATTTCTAGTTTCTTTCGAATGTATTAGTTAATAACAATAATATTGTACCACATTTACACAACATCTAGTTGCAAACTAAGCAGAGCTTGTACTTTGGGTACTAGACAACTGATATAAATACATAAATACTTTCTTTTTTGTAAATACATACATATACTCGTAATACATAGAAACACCTAGACCAAATCAAACATTAAAAGTTCACGCACACAAATGTTTGACTTGAGCGGGAATCGAACCTGCGACCTTTAGAAACCACTATGCCATCCGGTCGGCAGTTCTTTGACTGTCACGATAATACAACCAATATAAGAATGCTCTACCATAACCGGATGAAGACAAGGGTTCCAAGCCTTTGATCTGAAATTGAATCAATCCGGCCTAGATCAGAGACCCCTCATATATGAGTCAATAATTCCACTATCCATCCATATAAAACGGGCATTTGACGGGCCTGTTGGTCTGGTGGTTAGTGACCCTGACTGCTCAGCCTTAGGTCGTGGGTTCAATTCCCACCCAGGACAAATATTTGTATGATGAGCACGATCATTTGTTCTGTGTCTGGGTGTAATTTATCTATAATATGTATGTATGCAGCAGTCTGGCTACCATAGTACAGGCTCTGCCAGTGCGTGATGTGTGAGGAAAAAAAAAAACTTGTTTCTATTACATAAATAAACAAATGTTTTTCATACCACTTAGAACATAACTTTCGAGTTACCGCTTGACATCTGACAGTGATACCGCGCAAATAAACTTCGCGGGAGATCCGCGACGTCGCCGTAACTACCAAAATTTATCCATAATTTTAACCAGTAGGTACCTAGTGCATTTTTATGTTACCTATTATATTAAGTGTCGTATTTATATTTTCAATTAGCCTTTTAATCAGTTATATTTAAATTTTATAGTGTTTTTTTGGAAGTTTTTTAAACTGTTCACTAAATTTTTTTTTTTTTTAAAATACATTTTTTTTATAAAAACAAAAATTTTACAACCCTCACAGCCATTTCTAAATATTAAAAAAATATGTCGTTACATAATTTATTTAGACTGTCCGGGTTCCCTATACGATTTATTTTTAAATTAGTAATAAAATTATGAATGATATTTGTAATATTAAAAAATAACTTGTACCTATGTCAGAAATTAGAGAAAGCCGCCAATTTGACAGGCGATGTCATTGCTAAGATAAATAAATTGACTAAAAACACGTGTTGAAAGTCCGATCGGTAACTAGCCGCTCTCTGTAGCGATAGCGATTAGTAGCGATATCTTAGTCTTTAACTTTTATCAACGGTATGCGTTTTTTGTTTAAATCCGACCTATAGTTTCTTTATAAGAGTGTGTTTTTATTTCCCCAACAAAAAAACTTCTCCTTCATTATATAAATAATTCATAAGTATAGATGTTTTTGCAACCGTTCCCATAGGAATAAACCATATTTGAGACAGGGCAGCGCACTTTATAAAAAAATAAATCAACAGTACAGAGACGCAACGAAATAACCCTAAATCACAGCGATAGTAGAAATGAATCCGCATTTCAATTACAAACAACTTTTACTTGAAACATTTTCTCCAATTATTTGTAAATACAGAGATATTTCGAAATAAGCATATCATTTTTTGCAACAATCACTTCAATATTACTTTTGGAAGCCATTTTACATACCTCGTTACAATAAAGTAAAAAAAATAATGTCTTAAATAATATACACATGTTTCTTTTGAGATTACTTACTTACGATCTCCTTCTGTAGTTCTGCCTCGGTAATGTTTGACTCCTTAGATGCTTCAGAGTCTGAGTCTGCCATATTTTCTAATCACACAAGCAATTTTCTTCAGTATACCTAGAATGAATCCGCGTGTTGGCCACACAATAATATACCTACGCGCTAGATGCAACACGGCTTCACTGCGAAACTAGCCGAAGAATATATCGGATTCAGTCGGTCTTAACAAAAGCTCCAATCAAAATCTCGTATATAGTAAACATAACAGTTTAATGGTAACATGTTAACCAATAATAGCCTTTATGCCTTTTTCACAAACGTGAGATTTGTGTCATCCCAAACTTCATAAATTATTGCTTGATAATATGCGTTCAAAGAAAATTAATGGAATGACACAGGTTAACAAATATTTAATTTTAAAAACTAAGTTATGCAATTACCTTTATTCATCATTATCGGTAATAAAATATTTATTATTGGTCTAAAATTGATTCAATACTTGAAAAACTGTATAATTAAGTGTAGTGTGTAACACCCTGGGTCCCAGAACCTGCGATAAAAATGAATGCAGTTTTTTAAACGTCAAAACCACGCGTTTTATTTGTCAGTGTCTCAGGACATACATAACCTGTAACTATAAAGTAATTTAAAGTATTGGTAAAAGTTTTGGTCACAGGTTTTGGTGTTTGTGTATTTAAAAATGGCCAAAGTAAAGAATAAGAAGAACTCTGGTCTAGCGGACAAAGTTCATAACAAGAGAAAAATGGATAACAACAAGAAGAAGTTAAACCCATTCGAAGTGCACATTAACAGAGAAAAACTCAAAGTTTTAGGTAAAAAATCTAAGCATGATCGTGGGTTGCCTGGTGTTTCTCGCGCTAAAGCTATACAAAAGGTAAACACTGTTTTTTGTGTATTATTGTCCTATACCTTGTATAGGAAGGCTATACTTATAAATAATACCACTGGTAATTTCGGCCTCTGTTTTTAAAGTGGTGAAATAAAAGTAGGGTATTTTATTTACCTTTATTTTATATTTTAATTGATGAATAATCTGGCTCTGTTATGACAAAAGAAAAACTTGGTGAACAGTACCCTGCATCCCTTGTAAAAATTCAGATTGTGTCGTTCAATGTATTTTTTTATAATGTATTCTTGTATTTTTAAGATGACAGTGGTATTTAACGTTATGCATCTGAATGTTGTTTTACGTTAAACATTAATATTTGCCTTATTTCATTTTAATTGGAGAACTTAAGTCAATACATTTGTTCATCACTGTAAATGAAACATTTTGTCTAATAGCTCTTTTTTTAATGATGTAAAAAACCCCATGGTCAGCTCACCTAATTGGTGTGCCACAAATACAAGTGCAGTTTATTTACTAAGCTCATTTTGTGTACTCAGTCACTAGAGTCCTTGCTGTAGGACTTTAGAAGGACTTCAGAATATTAAATAAAGCTTATTACTAAAGCTAACATGAAACTAGTATTGTCCAATGCCAATTTAATGGTGGTAAAACACAATAATAGACAGCAGCGGGACATAAAGGAGCGCGGGGCAGAGCGACACACGACATGCATGCCTTTTAGTGTGTGAGTTACATCCGTATACTGCACACATGCACATATTACTGTCTACATAAAGTGGAGTCATTCCATACATAATTATTTTCAACTTGACTGTAGCTAACTTCTGAGCCGCCATTAAGTTTGCATCGGACTAAATAATAATAAATAGCAGCTTTTTAATATTTTTTAACAGAGGAAAGAAACTCTTGGCACCGAAATGAAACTGATGAATAAGACCAACACATTCATTGATAACCGTATTGGTGAGAAAAATAAACAGTTGTCGGCTGAGGATCGTATGATTGCCAGGTTTGCTGCCGAGAGGCAGAACCAGCGCACAAAAAAGAATATTTACAACTTAGCTGATGATGAAGTTTTAACACATAGGTGGGTGGTGATTAATCTATATATATAAATATATATATATATATATATAAATTTATACATAGTACATAACATTGTAAGTAAAAAGTAGTAGAAAAATAAAGTAAAAAGTTAATGCATTTTTTTTATGATTATATATTATCTTTAAGAGTTACGAGTATTGTTCTTCAAAGAGTTTCACAAGAGTTAGATGTTACATGTGAAGTTTTGTTAATCTTCTGGTTATTTTAGTGGTGAAAAATGAGTGCAGAAGTAATGAATCTTCTAAACTACCTAAAGAAGTACAGTGAAATTAGTCTCGAGAAATTTTTGCATATGTAGTGGTGTGTATATTACTCAGATCTTAGAGCGCGTTTCCACTATATCGTTCTGGCCTATACAAAAATGTTTCGATATCCTAACATTACTATTTAATTTTATACTTATCCCTAGCAACACTCTGATTTTTGTTTTCAATAAAAACAAGTTTTTATTTTAAATAAAAAGGTTTTGACTTTATAAAAAAAAAGGTGTGTGTGCGATTCACACACGATAGAAGTGAAACTTCAAAGAGGAGAGACCGATATTTAAATTTTTTTTTTTTTTTCCTTTCATCTAGGTTTTTAAAACTCCGGGGGTCTACGGGGGGGTCAAAATTTTTGTTATTTTTGGCCTAGGACGCACCGTTTCCGAGATATTTCAATCTAAAGCAAAAAATCGTCACTTGATAGTGGAAAGTGGAAACACGCACAACCATACACTACTACAAACGCAAAAATTTCTCCAAGCTAATTTACCTGTAATTGTGGAAACAAATATAGAAATATTGACTTAAACGACTTGAAAGTTCATGAGGAAGATTTATGGTGTTTGTGTATAAGTAACATTACTGTGTTTCATGCACCTTTAGGGACAGAAAAAGAATATACTTCATTATACACCAATTTTTTGTTTTTATAACATAAATCAAATTACTGCACTTGTACAAATGGCTACTTTATAGCTAAAAGCAATTTCTTAGAGACAACCTTTGGATGGACAAATCTGTAAAGTTATAAACAAATTCATGTACAATATTCCTCCGTACATATTTATCTATCTATCTTCTTGCATCACATCAACAGCCTATACTAGTCCACTGCTGGACATAGGCCTCTCCTTAGAAAGGAGGTTTTGGCCTACTATACCATGCTGGCTAGACGGGTTGGTATAGGGTTTGTTTCAAGTTTTCCTTCTCTTTGCAGTGCTGTTGTCCTGCTTAGTTTGCTCCCTTAGTCGGCTCTTACGACACCCACGGGATGAATTGGGGTGGTGACAATTTGTATTCTTAATCCGTCACCACACGGACTTATTAGACCTAGTCTGTTAACAGAAGCACCTATTTATCTATCTATCTTCTTGCATAATTTACCATAATGTTATGTATGCTTGTAGAGGTCAAACTTTGGAGCAGATCGAGAAGTTCGACGATCCCAGGTCTGATGATGAAGAGGATGATGGTGGCGTAAAGTTTGGTGGTGGATTAGGAGGTAAGTTGATATTTGTAAATTGTAGTTCGACGTCTCAAGTAGAAATAGGGCCTTGAGATCTCGTTAGGTGTTAATCGAGAGAATGATATTCCTTGGTGAATGGTCACTGCTCATCACATATATTTTTTTTTTTTTTTTTTAAAGACAACTCCCGCATTAGGAATAAATCCTGTGTCGCGGGGGACTTTACAAACATACATGAAACGGACACAAATAACACCCAGAATCAGAACAACAATTTGTGGATCACTCAAAGTGTCGTCCCATGTGGGGTTTGAACCCACAACACTCGGCGTAGTAGGAAGCGGCGTGGTGACCGCTTAAACCATACGCCATCCGTGCAGTCAACAATATATTACGTCTAGATATACTTTTGGGAAAACCGTTGGGGAAAACGAGTTCTTGAGTGGAGACCGCGTCTCGGCAAACGTAGTGTAGGACGCCCACAGGCCAGGTGGAGTGACGATTTGCGCAAGATGGCTGGCAGGAGCTGGATGCGAGAAGCCCAAAATCGATCTAAGTGGCGTGCAATGGGAGAGGCCTATGTCCAGCAGTGGACTGCGATAGGCTGATGATGATGATGATGATGATACTTTTAGCAATTGCTAGAGTTAGTTAAAAGCATCATCCTCGAAGCCTTTTCCGAAACCACATTGGGGTCGGCTTTCGTTCAACTATGACACGGCTGAACTTCGATTTATCACGTGGTGTTTGCCGTTAGACGTCCAAAACCTGAATACTAGACGATATCGAAGTTCTCTAGATAGACAGATAGTCTTTTGTCAGATTTTTAGGGCTCCAGTTACACTTAACGATTGCCACAGATGTATGGCAACTGGGACCGTCGGTTGAACGTTCTCTCCGAGGTATGGAGGTGTCTCAGTTCATACTGCTCAGAGTCCTAGCGAGTCACCATCAGTAGTACATGGGGTACGGCAGGGAGGACTCCAGAAGTCGCAGATGCGTTCCTGGAGCTCCTCTCGACTGCTGAGGTAGGCCGCCGCAGGGTTTAGTGGGTAGACCGGTTCTCTGGGAGTCCCACACACGCCCTGCGTTTCCCCAATGGAGGGTAAGGTGCGAAAAGCATTCCCCGCGTGGAAAAAAAATAAAGGTATCGTGTTTTGAGGACCTTAGAACCAGTCCTTAGAACACGATACTGGAAGAATCTGGAAATGGAATCAGGATAATGGAAAGAAGGGAATTGCTCGCAGCGATTGGTTGGCCAATTCCCTTTTTTCCATTTTCATTTAACAATATCTTTCTATTGCAGATGACTTTGTGGACGGACATTTTGGTGGCGGACTCTTGTCTCAGACTGACTCCAAACACGGCGGCAAATCACACAAAGATTTAATAGAACAGCTTATTGCTGAGTCCAAGAAAAGAAAAGCAGATAAACAAAAAGAAAAAGAACAGGCACTAGATTTAACAGAGAAGTTGGACAGTGAGTGGAAGGATTTGCATCCTGTTGTATTTACGAAAATGAGAAAAGAAGACAAAGAGGAATCTGCAATTGATAAGCTGCTCAGTCAAGCGGAGAAGAAGAGTTTCGATTATGATAAGATGATGAGGGAATTGCGGTTTGAGAAGAGAGGCACTGTAAGTTATATTTTCACCTTTACAAAGACTTAATTTCCATTTACCTAATAATTTTACAAGCACAATACATAAAATACTAGCTCTTGCCCGCGGCTCCGCGCGCGTGTATGTCTGTTATGGCGATAAAAAGCCTATGTCCTTCCTCAGCAATCAAACTATCTCCAATTCAAATTTCATTTAAATCTGTTTAACGCTTATTGATTTCCCGTACAAACTTCCATTTCACCGCCTTACAGGATATTTAATGGGATAAAAACTGTCCTATGTAATTTCCCGGGACTCAAACTATCTCTATACCAAATTTCAACTATATCCGTTCAGCGGTTTAAACATGAAGAGGTAACAGACAGAGAGATAGATATTAGTATGGATACATTATCTTTAAAAGACCTCACAGAAAACCAGTGTTAAGCATTTTCTTTTGCTGTTTTTCACCGAGTGAGAGAGGTTACCAAAGGCCAAACTACCTTCCCGCTTATTCTGGGGAGAGGGACTCAAAGGCGGCAAACATAGAGAGAACACGGGGTACAGCTGCCTGTAAGTGGAAGCGATACAACTAGAGAGATGGATGCCAAACAGTTCCCTCTGTCTCTGTTTAGCTAAGTTGCGATAGGCGGGAGATTAGTAATTTCCCCAGCCAACCACAGAGCTCGACTAGAGAGATAGAAGGAACTATCTATTATCCATCTCTCTCGTTGCCTATATCCCAAGATTGGGGCTCTTGTTTACTCTATATGATTCTTGAGATGCACGTGTCTATGGGCGGTGGTAATTACTTACCATCAGGTGACCCTTATGGCCAGCTTGGTATAGTTGGCCAAAACCTCCTTTCTAGGGAGAGGCCTATGTCCAGCAGTGGACTAGTAAAGGCTGTTGATGATACCATAAAAAATCTTGCATTTCTAATATTATGCAACTGTTAAAACAATTTTCTGATTTTACAGCCATCGGATGCTTTGATAAATGACAAAAAACAAGAAAAAGAAGAGAAAGAAAGATTGGAGCAGTTAGAGAGGGAAAGAGAACAGAGGATGTTGGGAGAAGACGAGAGGGTAGTGGTGAAGCCTCAGCAGGCTAAGCCTAAACATAGGTAAGATTAATAATTTTATTAAAGTCCTAGATAATTTTTATAACCAGCTGTTGCCATAGCTGCATTCGTGTTTATTTATTTATTTATTTTTTTCGTGTTGATTGAACGCAGTGGACTACTCTGTTGAGGATGATGATAACGTTAGTGAGACTAAAAGACAACACCCGCATTAGGAATATATCCTGTGTCGCGGGGGACTTTACAAACATACATGAAACGGACACAAAGAACACCCAGACTCAGAACAACAATTTGTGGATCACACACTCGGCGTAGTAGGAAGCGGCGTGGCGACCGCTTAAACCACTACGCCATCCGTGCAGCATTAAGTCCTCCTCGTGCAAGTTGTAATTCAGGAAGTGTAAAATAATAGTAAAATGTACTGTCTACCTCTTCGGGGATAAAACACGTGATCACAACACGTATGTGTTTTTCCTCACAACTAGAATTACAGGAAATAAAATCTATCTGTTAAAGTAAAATAAGGTACGGTAATTTCAGATCGGCAGAGGACTTGGATGATAATTTCGAATTGGACGATGATAAGGAGTTCATGCTGGCGTACGATAAAGATGGGAAACCGCTCGTACCCGAAAATATTCTTAAAGATTTCTCAGGTAAGTCATATTTCTGAAACAAAATCATTGATTCATAAAATCAATTCTGTCGTTACTTTTCACTGAGTGAGTGAGGTTACTGGTACTGGCACCGAACCTCCCCCTCTCCTTAATCCTGAAGAGGGGTTGGCCAACGCACATATCGACAACGCAATTGTGACTTAATTGCAAGTGTCCATGGGTGGTGGTAGCCACTTCCATCAGGTGACCCGTCTGCTCGTTCACACCAGTACCATAACAATGGGGTTAACACGAATACTAGTAATGTATGACCCGGTTGTTAATAATTTTTACATAAAAAAGCTGTGTTTAACATTCTGTCCCAAAACACTATCCACATATTATTATTACTAGTAGCTTAAAATAAAATGAACGAGGTGCTTATTTGCCACTATTGTTGTAGAAAAATAAAGAAGAACACAACAAAATAAAGTAAAACAAAACAAAAAACATTCAAAAACCCTCGGCATTCACATACCTATTTTTATCTTGTTTTTATCGTATTTGTTTGATTAAATGTAGTTTTACATTTTTATTAGTTCCAAATACAAGACCGAAGTTTGATGATGGTATATCTGACACGTCTGAAGAAGAAGAAGAAGATGATGATGACGATGAAAGCGATGATTCTGATGACGCAGAATCTAATGAACATAATGAAAAGGTTTCTAAACAGAATGAAGATTCTGATGATGCTTTAGATACATCCACTGAAGCTAAAACTAAAAGAAGAAAATCGAAAAGTGATACAGATAATGATGAAAGTGATGATGATAGTGATTCTATCGTACCACAAAATAATCAACAATTAATTTCTAAAAATAAAACGAAGCTTCAGAATGGCTCTGCTATGGAACCTGATAGAAAAAAGCAGAGAACTGAAGATAAAGCTAAGAATAAAAACGAGAGTAGCATATTGATCCAAAATACAAAAGATAAAGAAAGTGACGATGAAAGTAACGAAAATGGAGAAGAAGAAGACGAAGAAGGAAGTACTGAAGAAGATGAAGACGATGAGGAGAAAGAAGAAGATTTCAATGATTTAAAAGATTTGAAAGAATCAGATGTTGATAGTGATAATGAAATGGTTGAAGAAGATGTTGAGAAGATTGGTTCTCTGTTTGATCTCGCGTCGGATGAAGGAGATAAATTAAAGGTACTTTATTATTTTAATATTTAGTATAATATATATATTTTATAAATTAATATCGTCACACCAGGACTTAAGGAAATAGACATGTGAGATAAGGAAGAGAACCAGAGCGTCGTTAATTTTTAAAGTGTTTATTTGCTAAACCAAACATTAAAAGTAAATTATTCGATGGAGAGGCCTATGTCCAGCAGTGAACTGCGATAGGCTGATGATGATGATGATTCGATGGCAGCAACATATTCAAACAGTTACAAATGGTTATTTCCTACAAGTAAGTTTAGAGCGTACATCATCAACAGCCTTTAATAGTCCACTGCTGGACATAAGCCTCTCCTTAGAAAGGAGGTTTTAGCCTACTATACCACGCTGGCCTGACGGGTTGGTATAGGGTTTGTGTCAAGTTTTCCTTCTCTCTGCAGTGCTGTTGTTCTGCGTAGTTTTCTCCCTTAGTCGACTCTTACGACACCCACGGGATGAATAGGGGTGGTGACACTGTATTCTTAATCCGTCACCACACGGACCAGAGCGTACAGTTACAATCATCATTTCATATCCTCCGAGGATAAGGCCCTGGGAAAAGGCCCAAACTAGGTTCGGCCAGATTTCAGTCTATTGTGACATGGCTGAACTTCGACGTTTCACGTGGGGCGACAGCTGTCATACTTCCACAACTCAAGTACTAGGCGAAAGTTCTGTAAATAGACTCTTGAATGTTTAAACTTCTTCTGGAACGTTCGATTAGTTTCATTAGGTACACGATGACGCTACTTGACGACCAATAAAAATAAGAAGTTTACGACTGAACGATTGGAGTAGTGGTTTACGCTATCACTTCGCCGCTTCCCACTGTACTGAGTGTTGTGGGTTCGATCCCCACATGTTAAAACACTCGGTGGTAATCCACAAATTGTTGTTCGAAGTCTGGGTGTTCTTTGTGTCGGTTTCATGTGTGTTTGTAAAGTCCTCCGCGACGAAGGATATATTCCTAGTGCGGGTATTGTCTTTAAAGAAAGAAAAAAAAAGTTTAATGAGAAGAAATTGATTTAACATAAAATTACCATATATTATCCTGGGCGTTCATGTGTTGATAACACACACACATAGTCACTTTTCAGTCTTACCACTTGTAAAACAACAACAAACTCTCAAAACTAAACTAAAAATAGTCGATCGATCGATTCGATTTTTAGTTTAGTTTAGAGACTTTTCGAACAACAGAATTAGCACCATTATCTACTTTTTGCAGGAATTACTTTCAGGGAAAACGCCGTCTCAGCAATCTACAGCCTTACAGAGCCTTATAAAAAGTTATGACCCAAGTCTTGCAGAAAATAACAAAGACAGACTTAGTCGACTCTTCGCTCACATGCTTCAGTACATAAGCGATATCTTCACTGACTTGAAAGACGAAAGCGACGTTTTAAAATCACTTCTCACATTCGATAAGCTTGCGCCATTTTTCTACGATTTGGCGCACACAAACAAAGTTTCCACAAAAAAATATTTAGTAGAATTATTAAAAGAAAAATATGGCAACTTTAAAAAGCGGCAAAAACGTGTACCGGATTTAGATACGTTAATATTTTTCAAATTAATATCTCTTTTATATCCCACTTCTGATTTTCGACATCCTGTTACGACGCCTGCATTGATTTTCATGTCGGAAATTTTAATTTCGTGTAAATTCAATAACGCTTATTCAATATCAAGGGGATTGTTTGTGACTACCCTCATATTAGAATACACAATATTATCAAAAAGATTAGTACCCCCAGCTATAAATTTTCTACGCGGTATTTTATATTTAAGCGCCAATACTAGCGTTTTGAATCCAATAGAAGTTGTCCCGCCATTTAAATTACACAGAGACGCAAAAATTTTAAATTTAGATACCGACTGTTCGAAAATGGACGTTCAAAACAAAATGGCCGCCAAAGATTTTGTAATGGCCGACATAGATGATGATTTTAAAATTCGATGTTTGTTAACTAGTAGTGGAATTTTGAGAGAATTTTTTGATTATTTTAATGATATTGAGGCACAGCAGTATTTATTTGAGCCGCATTTAAAATTGATGGATAGAATCGACTTAGATTTATATCCTAAGAAGATTAACAAAACTATTAGTGGTGTGGTTCAGTATATGAAGTCGACTTTAGAAGTGAAGACGTTTAGTCCGTTGTGCAGAGAGAAACCTAGACCGAAAGCTCTGAGGCTGTACGAACCAGAAATAAAGGAAGTGTGAGTAATTTTCTTTATATTTAATTTTTAATGCATGTATTAATAGGTTTATCCGTGTGGGTTAAGAATACGGAGTGTCACCACCCCTATTCATCCCGTCGGTGTCGTAAGAGCCGACTAAGGGAGCAATGCCAGACAACAGCTCTGCAAAGAGAAGGAAAACTTGATACAAACCCTGTACCAACTCGTCTGGCCTGCGTGGTATACTAGGCCAAAACCTCGTTTCTTAGAAGAGGCCTATGTTAGGCAGTGGAATATTAAAGGCTGTTGATGATGATGATTAATAGGTTATCTTGGTATGGGCATGTCATCCGGAGGGATGAAGAAAGTGTGGACGAAACGAAAGTGTTAGGAATGAGAGTTGAGGAGTACAAGAGAAGAGGAAGACCAAAGAAAAAATACAATTTGGTAATTTCGTGTACAATAAAGCGAGCTTAACCCATGGTTCTCATCCATCCTATCCTTGTATCTTCCAGCATATCTGGACATCTATACTAACATATTATAAACTCCACGGATAGCGTAGTGGTTTAAACGGTACGCCGCTCACTAGTACGCTGAGTGTTGTGGATCCGATCCCGAAGACTTTGTGTGATCCACAAATTGTTGTTCTGAGTCTGGGTGTTCTCTGTGTCCGTGTCATGTATGTTTGTAAAGTCCCCCGCGACACAGGATATATTCCTAATACGGGAGTTGTCTTTTAAAAAAAACCGGGAGAGTTTGTTTGGTTGAACGCTCTAATCTATGAAACTACTAGTTCCAATTGAAAATTCTGTTAGTGTTGCATAGCCTATTTATCGAGGAAGACTGTAGACTATATAACGTCATGCTATCACCAATAGGAGACGAGCATTATTGAAAAATGTTGCAAAAAAAGGGACAAATTTATTTCGTCTGGTTAGCTGGTAGTTGATATAGTGTATACGTCAAGGTAATTAACTTCTTTTTATCTGTAGATTTACTGGCAGCAAGTCATCTAAACAACTGAAGACCAGATACAAGAGGGAGATGAAGGGAGCACTAAGGGAGATCAGAAGAGACAAGTCGTTCATCGCTTCAGTCAAGATAAGGCAGAAGATTCAAAGGTAAGATCTACTCAACATTGAACTTGCATATTTTCTCCTGAAGTAAATTTTAGCCTACTTCTAGTTGTGATATCGAAATAAAACTTTGACGGGCCTGTTGGTCTAGTGGTCAGTGACCCTGACTACTAAGTCAGAGGTCGTGGGTTCGATTCCCACCGAGGACAAATATTTGTGTGATGAGCACGATCATTTGTTCTGTGTCTGGGTGTAATTTATCTATAATATGTATGTATTTAGAAATATATAAGTATGTTTATCAGCAGTCTGGTTAACATAGTACAGGATATGCCTAGTTAGGGATCAGACAGCCGTGTGTGAGAAGTGTGAGGGTATTATTATTATTACCGGGAGAGGTTGACCCGGTTGGTTGGCCCGGCTCGCCAGGACCGAGAACGAGCCAGGTACTGCAGACGGCTCAGGCCCTCTGCGACCTCCGTCCTCCATAAGCTCAGGCCTGAGGGTGACAGGTAAGGCCATCTGTCACTCTAGCAGAAGCAGAGCGGGGTGGATAATGGCGAGACGCGCTACGGAGCGCTCTAGCCCTTCGGGGCAGGAAGGGAACATCCGGGTTCCCACACAGGAGGGGTCATCTATAAGCCGTAGATGACCCGAGGTACTTCGGGGTACCAGGGCTTTCCTTTCTAGGGTATACCGGGTTCCCCGGCTACTGGTACCTGGAGAACTTTTTTTAGAGATTCGAGTCCGACATAATCACCCATTGGTGGGTGGTATCCGAGGGGAGTTCCGCACAGAAAAAAAAGGGTATTATTATTAATGTATGAGCTGATTCCATGATTTAGCCGGGAAACGGATAGTGGAACTCTTCAGTAAACACTTTGATTTCGTGCTCATTGCTTTATAGAGCACGTTAAACTGTTGGTCCTGGTTGCCAGTTGAATAAGTACGAGCTGTTCGATATCGGCTGGTACTTGGGTTGTGGGGGTCTGAAGACAGTCGCTCCGCGTAAAAAATCAAACTTCAGCCGTATTGTGGTGGACTTAAAGCCGACCCCAATTTAGTTTAGGGAAAAGGCTCGGAGGAAAGTTCCTTGTGACGAGTCGAACAGATTGGATTTGATGATGATGGTCTGAAGATAATTCTGATCTTTGTTCGTGTTAACTCCATTTGAAATTTAAATTGTTGTTTAAATAGCAGAGCGTAGCGCACTGAGTAAGTAACCCCCCCGCCCAGAAATGGGGGGGTGGTTACTCTAAAGGTTGCAAGGCTCTCATGTCTCTTCAGTTCCAGGCGTCATTGGCCAGCGGCCACATATATCTGCTGAGCTCTTTATTTCTTTCGAAGACATAATATTAATGCATTTTTCTTTTTTTCCAGCGATAATATAAGAAGAGACAAAGTGAAACAGATATACAAGGATGCGGCCATCCAACAAGGAGAGCTGAACAAAATGAAACGTATGAAATAACATCAAGTGATCCATTAATAAAAAAATTACAAAGTATTCTCTTTGCTTTTATTTAACCATGGAAGAGCTATGCTTCGACCTCATAGACAACCAGTCTTGGGCAATTCTTTGTTGGATTTTGTGAGTGACGTAAAATCCCCCTTCTTCTGCACTTAAAGGGCCGGAAACACACTCGTGACTTTCAAGTTGTGGGTGACGGATTCAGAATACAGAGTGTCACCACCCCTATTCATCCGTAAGTGTCGTAAGAGCCGACTAAGGGAGCAAACAACGTAGGACGACACTGCACAGAGAAGGGAAACTTGAAATAACCCTATACCAACCCGTCTGACTGGCGTAGTCAAAACCTCCTTTCTAAGGAGAGGCATATGTCCAGCAGTGGTCTACTAAAGGCTGTTTAGAATGACGGGTGGTCACTTAAGGGCGGCGGTGGTCGCTAACCAACAGGTCTGTTGGTGACTGAGGTCGCTGCAATCAGTTTTCTTGCATTCTCTATCAATCATCAGTTTACTGCTACTCCCTTTATAGCTTTATCCTCAGTCTCGCAGTCTATCCATCTTTTCTTTGGTCGTCCTCTACTCTTATATCGGTCAACTTCCATATATAATACTTTCTCCACTACATTTTGCTCATCTCTGCACATCCCATGTCCATACCAGGATAACCTGTTGCTCCTCAACTTTTCTATTCCTCACCTTATCGTATCCACACCAGTCACCACACATCCATCTTAACATTCGCATTTCTGCTATATCGTCATAGTTGTAGAATAGGGCAGCCATTTCAAATAATTGTTATTTATTTAACATAACTTTTTAAATTTCTAATCTATAATAATAATATTTATATTATATACTAGCTAACCCGGCAAACGTTGCTTTGCCTAAAAAAAAAAATTTAGGGTTGGCTCACCCTTACCATTTAGGGGTATGAAAAATAGATGTTGGCCGATTCTCAGACCTACCCGATGTGCACACAAAATTTCATGAGAATCGGTCAAGCCGTTTCGGAGGAGTACGGGAACGAACATTGTGACACGAGAATTTTATATCATCAATCATCAATAGCCTATACTAGTCCACTGCTGGACATAGGCCTCTCCTTAGAAAGGAGGTTTTGGCCTACTATACCACGCTGGCCAGACGGGTTGGTATAGGGTTTGTGTCAAGTTTTCCTTCTCTTTGCAGTGCTGTTGTCCTGCTTAGTTTGCTCCCTTAGTCGGCTCTTATATATATTAAGTTTTATATATAAGATTAATAATAGTGTAATTATGAAATTATCATACAAGTGAAAAATAGGGTTTGTTTTTTAAATGCAATTAAAATAATAACTAATAATTAGATATACAATTTTCTAGATAAATCACATGCTTTATTTTACTTTGAGCGCCTATCAAATAAACACTGAATATTTTTTTTTTTTCTTGAATGTAGTAATAATATTTAGACAGTATCCAAATAGCGTAAAAACTGAATTTGGTATTTATTTTCAAAACCGACATTGTTCTTCGATCTTGACGTCATGCAAGCGTCAGAATCTAGTACTGGAGAAATACCGTAGTGAGAAAAGGTTGAAAAAATAAAAAATATACTACGAAAATGCATTAATTGCTAAAAAATATTAAACCTACTTATATTTACATTATTTTATAATGTGAGACATTGTAACTTTTACTTTCCTGCAACCTGGGAGAGTGAGTGTGCGTTACCCCAGCAAAATAATGTCGAAAATGGTCATTTAAACGTTATAGATAATTAGTTGTCCCCCTTCTGTAATTGTTAGGCACATTTTTAAATTTGTTTGATTCATCACTTAAAAAAAAATCCCAATCTATTCACAAAATACCTATTTACAACGCATACGTTACACTCTTCAAGTTTAAATTACGTATACCTACCCTAAAATTAAACCTCAATTAACAAATACTACACAGGTACCAATTCTATGAACATTACGAGAAAACAAAAGTATTCAAAACAATACCTAATCTCCCGGCTAATTACAAATTACGCAATAAACAATTCTAAATAAAAATTATTGTTAACAAACATGTAGTTTTTGTAACACTTATGTACATATCCGTAGTAAACTTGCAAATAATATCCTACATATTTTAAAAGCCAGCACAATGTACTGGGTGATCGCTTTTTTGTAACCACCTAAACATGGTCGGGTTACCACGATCTTGCACCTTCTAATGACTTTTATTTAATTATCTCGTAAATTATTATATGTACGTCACTGAAATTTTACAGGTAGACAACTGAACTAAACAACTAATTATTGGCATAACATTCAGTTTATATATCCACACACAGGTTTATCGGTGGCCAAAAAAGGCCGCACACATTGTGATCGTGAACGTGGAGAGCTACATTTCATCATAACTTTTTAGTCTCTTATAGTATACTTACGAAAATTCGTATACATTTGAAGGTAGTTACAAGCAATAGAATAACGTTTGAAGTAAGTCTTTAGAGGTCTTATTCAAAGTGTTAGGACGTATTGAAGTGTTTTCATACTTACTTGAATGATTTTAAAACGGTCCATTATTTTTAATATTTTATTGTTGAACAAATTAAAACTAATCCTTAAGAAGTTATTTACAAAAGATGGTTACAATCCGCTTACCCGTTTAGAGATCCAGCAAACCCACAAACGTTACTCCAGCAGGATCTCGAATAACTTCGCAGCCGAAGAAAATACAAATACCAAATAAGTTGTAACATTTACCTCGTCCAGATAACTAATTATTTAGCTAAAATTTTTTTCAATATTTCAATTAAAAAAGAAAAGGTCTGGCTGCGGTAACGTTTCAAACGTTACCCCAGCAGGAAATGTTTTTTTGAAATAACTAAAAAAAAATAAGTGAAACAAATTTAAAAATGTGCCTAACAATTACAGAAGGGGGGCAACTAATTATCTATAACGGTTAAATGACCATTTTCGACACTATTTTGCTGGGGTAACGCACACGGAGAGTGATTTCGTCAAAAGGACGGAAGTATGTTACAGAAAGGGGAGGAATGCACACTATTTTATTTGACCAATGAGCACACGCCGTATTAATTGTTAGATGTTAAACTTTATATGCACTTTTATGCTACTTATTTTCTACTTTAAAAAGAAAAGAAAACGCCCGTATTAGACATAAATCCTGTGTGGCATGGGACTTTACAAACATTCATGAAATGGGCACAAAGTACACCCAGACTTAGAAAAACAATTTGTAGATCACATAAATCGTTGTCCCATGTAGGGATCGAACCCACAATACTCAGCGCAGTAGTAAGTCACGTAGCGACCGCTTAAACCACTACGCGATCCGTGTAGTAGTCTACTGCAAGTTTGATTCGCTTTTTTCGATTAAGAGGTCTGGCGGCTTGGGGACAAAAAAGAAGTGGAGGCCCCAAATTATTTTCCATATAATAAGGTTAAAAAAATAGCAGTCGAGTTTTCAAATAAATAATTTATTGTGAAACCATTCTTTTGTTATTTAAGAAACATATAAATATAATAGGAAACAAGAATTATCTGAAATTAAATTTTAGCGTTAACGAACAGAACCTGCCGTGAATTTTTCTCCGAAAAATCGTCGATGATTCGCTGAAATCCAGTTCCCGAAGTAAATCACTTTCAATGCTTAAGAGAGAAAGCTTTGATAGACAGTTTTGACCCATCTTGGTTCTAAGCCTATTTTGTATAATTTTTAATCCGGGAGGAAAGATAGCGATTGTCTCTTTTTAAATATTTTAATTGCACAATCAACTATGACAGTCTATTTGTATCGTAGATTACAAGATAAAGATGAAAATACTCATGTCTGTCCGTACAAATTCGAAAGAATTTACATTTGTTGCAAAATGTTCGTAAGTTCGTAGCTTCTCAGTGAATGTATAGAACTTCGGGATTCCCTGCTACAAACAAGCACGCCACTCAGCCAGGCGTCTGTCACTCACTCAAGGGCACGCGGACTCCAAGATACTGCCGACAGAGGGCCCGAAGAGCCGCCACACAACTGCCTGAGCGCTCGCACGGCACGTTCATCGCGTTTACTCATTGAAATGCCAAAACCACGTAATTATTGTGCAGTGGAAGTCAAATAACATTTCCTAATGATTACTTATTAAAATTATTAGACGACAAAATTTAATAACAAATAATTCAGAGAAGGAAAAACGTATCTATCATTTTTTTTTAAACCCAAACATTTAAGCTAATGAATGTAAATTACGTTGCTATTCCGCGATAAATCAGGCGTTACTTTGCTCAAATCCATTTTAAGCTAATGTAAAATACATATATATAATTGAAAGTACAAAAATAAAGAGTCGAGACACGGAATCGAATACCCAACCTCTGAGGTTGCGGGCGAGTACCACCCCACTCAGCCATTGAGCCATTAGGATACTCCCTCAAGATGGGGAGTAAATTGCAATCGTTTATCAGGGGCATTTGAGATTTTGATATTGTACTGATTGTCTGTTTGGAGTGAACAAATATAGAATGATGATTTCTGTTAATATTTAAAATGTTTGTATAAAGTACTGTAGGTAAAGGTAAACCGCGAAAAAAAATATCACTATTCTGAATGTGTTTTTTTTCTCTTTTGTGGAGGCCCCGGTGCTGTAGCCCGTTGCCGGTTACCCTCCCCAAATCCGGCCGTGCTTACATACGGGATATGAAGTCACATATTAAAACTTATTTCGTCTCCAAATTGAGTAGTTCAAGCACGTTGCGAAGGTTAGCCGTCCCAGGTAAGGCAGCATAAAGTATCCTGCTACAGGCGTTGTCCGGTAAAAGCTGGCTGTGCAGGCTACGGCTGTGATGTCCAGCGCCAACATGTGCAAGAAGGCCTGAAAAAATAATAATCTTTTACTTTATTTATTTACATTTAGAAAGAAACATACTTATTTTACATTTAATTTGCAATACAATTAGCAAACTACTACAGAGAAAGCAAAAAGGTAGAGAAAACTACCATTCTGGTAGTTTAGTTT